TGCTCTCGCTTAAGTTCACCAGAATACTTTGACCCACTGCCAACTAGTTCGATAATCTCTGGAATACTGCTGGCAAACATAGCCTATAAAACACGTTCCAATTGTTTTGTTTATTTTCATTCACATTCAGCATGTGTTTATTTGTTTGTGTGTGTGTGAGTTTGAGTATGTGGTTTTTTTCTTCTCTCAATAGAGTCTTTTTGTTTTCTTCATTTTTACGTTTTGTGTTTCACGGTTGGGAATTATTTATGGGCTTTGATTTGTTGTCTTTTCATTTGAGAACAAAAAAAAAATCGCTTTGATCGAATGTTTGACTGAAAATTTTAGTCCGTTGAAAATATGATGAAATTACAAGAGATAGAAACTTATAGGCATAACAACACAAATGACAAATTAGAATTGGTTTGTGACTGTGTTCAATATAGAACATCATTTTATATGAGCAATCACAATTTTTGGGAATAAAAACTATCAAGACTATGTTATTTAGACATAACTAAAAACGAACTATAAACATACTATAACATAATTTATAATAATAGCATGATTTATGAAAGGAATCACTAACAAAAGAAAAATAAACAATTTGCTTTAAATGACACTTTTCCATAAATTAGAATTAAACTGAGATTTTAACTTCTTATTTTTTTCAATTAACGAAACAATAAAGAAAGATATATAGAGAGAGAATGAGTATGTGAGGCATGGTTGGTCTCACAATTACCCATTTTTTTCCGAAGTAGATTAGTATTCAAGCAGGTACCATTTTGTATATAGCATTCATATTTACATTGGATGTGACGTAACCAACACATATGACACATTATACAATTCATCAAACATGGAAAGCAACTTAAAATAGAAACATAGATGAATGACAAAAACTAAATAATCAACGTGAAATTCAGTAAAAAAAATCTAAATTGTGGAAGGGATGACAGCACAGTGGATGTAAAATGGATTCATCGAAAATGAACTAAAGAAGAAAAAGGTAGAAGTAAGAAATTATCTAGATATTGTGAGAAAAATGCCAAAGGAGTCGAAAAAAAAATATATATGAGAATATAGAGTAGCAAGAGTTCTTTGAGACAAGCGCACCAAATCGATAGTGAGCAATTTCAAAGAAATAAATGAAAACATACTCGAGAAAATGAATTGAAAAAAAAAAACGTAAAATGGTGTCAAAGCTAAGCTCTTCACTAATGTTTGTGTACTGCGATTATTAATGATTAACGCTATGGTTTTCCTTAAAAAAAAGCACGATTACAGAAGACCGTATGCGGCAGCCAGCATTCTCCACATGCAAAATCAAGAAAGAGAAATAAAATGAAAACCAAAATGAAAATTATAAACCAAACTCAAATGCCAATGACAGAGAAAGAGAGAGAGAGAGAGAGAGAGAGAGAGTGAAAGAGAAGAGAGAGCGAGAGGGAATTTAAATAATAATAATAATGAAAATCAAAAATAAAAGTCTTGGGAAAAAACGAAACTTAAATTTAAAACGACATAGATCGAAAGCAAAATGGAACTGTTGAGGCGAATAGTAAATGGCATGCCATTGAACGAAACATATTTAAATAATTTAATAAAATAAAAATTCGAGAAAACAAGAAATAACGAAACAACTGAAAACGCAAGGTAGAAAATTACACTTAAAAAGTAAATCCAAGAGGGCTCCATAAAGCTTTTTTTTTCTTTGTTCACACTTTATTCATTGACATAATTTTAATTTTGTATATGTGTTATATATATATACAGTTATAAATGTAGAGAAAAGTACGTATTTTCTTATGTTTTTGAATTTTTCTATATTCTTGGAATAAAGAAATGAACGGTTGAATCAAATTTTGTGGAAAATTATAAATTCCAAACAGAAAGGTGAAAAAAAACCCAAAAAACCTGAAAATGCATGAATACATCGAATATATATAAATAGAAAAAAAGCTGACACAATTCAATTCTCATTCGGAATGCCTAAAACTTATAAACCATTGCTTGGATGTTATAACTTGAGCATGTAGAAATAACCCTGTGGGCTTTTAAAATAATAACAGTAATTGTAATTTTAAACAAAAATGCCGCACATCACATGTGTACGCGTTTCCTTTCATTTATTAGAAATGGCAATAATGCAAGCAGCGCACTCAAAGCCATCATCGTTAATGAACTAATAAATTAAATATTCTCTCATAAGTATAAAAGTAGTCTTTGTAAGTACAACAGAGTGCTGAAGTCAGTATAGAACAACTGTCAGTGCTACTTAATATAGTTTTAGCGTCAAATATGGTACTGATTTTTTTACAGATATTTGTATATTCGCCTCTACTTGGCGCTAAAACGTAAACAGTAGCACTGGCAGGGATCTTATACTGAATATTTTACCCAGAAAATACTTTTTTACTCATGCAAGTGCATATTTAATTAATTTATGTATTGTTTTAATTTAGTTTATTTTAATATCCTTGAAACGAAACTAAGATTTGATAAAAATAATCGTTGGTGCACACAACAATTGTTTAACTACCTAAAAATTTTATTAACAATACTCATGTGAGAATTTTTGCTATTGTTATTTTGCTGCTGTTATTATTATTATTTTCAAGATAATATTAATATGTATTTTATATGCAAAGCGATGCATCAATTTTTTGTTTTTTGATTTCTGCAAATATTCGAAAATCTCATTCGTCACTTTTACTTTTTTGTAGATTATTTTATCAGTTCGTATCAATAGAATTCGATTGTTTTACCGCCAACATTTTTGTGAACTCCAATGTGAACAATGGCAATCTTGGTATAGTGACTGTACAACATTCTTTTCAGTAAAACAATCGAAATGTGTTATTAATCCGAATAAGAGTTGCCAATTACAAAAATCACGACAAAAAGGGATTTTTTGCATTTACAGAAAACAAATCATCGATACCTTCTTCACATATAATACAAACATTTAAATAATTTAATATTATTTTTGCAAACTGTGAAACTAAATAGTCTAGGGGGTAACCGCGATTTTAAATATATAGAAATATAAACAAATTCAGGAGATTTCAACGAATTCAAGAGCTATCGAGAGATATGAACGCAAATTTACATTTTTGGGAGATATTGTCAGATATTCTGATCTAAAAATAATTCTGGATGTGGGCTTTGGTGGATCATTAGGATCATCAGAACCGCTCCCAGTTCTGGAAGTGGGTTTTGGTGGATCCCCAGGATGGACCAGACTATGGTTTGACAATGCCCCGGCCTATCCTGAGAGTCCACTTCCAGAACTGGGAGCGTGATGATCCTGAGGATCCACCAAAACCAACTTCCAGAATTGAATACTTTGAGATAATACTTTACCCCCTAGTAAATAGTGATATTTATATATGTATGTGTGTGTGTTGTCACTTTACACAGAATATCGGAAGAACTAACTGAACAGTTTTTTAAAGAAAATGAAAGAAAATGGTTTTGTTTCTGTGTTTGTGTGGAAAATCAAACTATCAATATCTTCGTGAACTGAATTCGCAATTGAAATAACAAGTACGATTTTACTGAGAAAAAAGAAACGGTACCTTTCATGCTTATTGCATTACGTGTATTCGCAGAATGTTTCGAATTGGTTTTTTTTTTAATTAAACTAAATGTATTTTATGTTTTGTTGGTTTTGTTATCTGTTCAAAGATAGTGTCTACAGCTCAAGAAATGCTCTTTCCAAATCGTTTGAATAAAATATTGTATGTACGGCATATTAAATTGGTGCTTTAACATTTAAATGGCTATTATAAAACATTGATATTTTCTGGTTGAAGCGTACACAGGATAGATACTTTTATTTATTTCGTTGCATTTTATTTTTCTAAATAAGAAAGAACAAAGCCAATGAAAAATACATGATTCAAAATGAAAACATGTGAGATCACTTTGAATGTTGTCGTTTTTCTTTTACATTGATTCAATTCGAAAATCGAAGTGGTAAATGTGATTTGAAAATTAAACAAAAAAAAAAAAAAAAAAAAAAAAAACTCACAAAGATTACGATTATTATGAATATTTTGTGGTGTTTAAAAAAAACATTGACAGAGATAGAGAGTTAAAAAAAAATAGTATGGTATATCGTTTAGTAAAGCGAATTGCGTTTAATAATAATAATAGTAGAAGAGAAATATATATTATTAGCTTTTTTGCTAAGCGCAAAATCAAAAATTGAACAATTAAAATATGAAATGAAAGTCTTAAAAACGATGTTAGATTATTTTGATAGTTTTTGTTTTGTGTTATATAAATATAAAATTGGTTGTATTCAAAACTCTACCTACATATTTAAAACGACATAAAAATTAAACATTTATTATTGGAAATTTGTTTGTTTATTTAATTATTTTGTCCGTTTCTTCGTTCGGCATTTATTTTGATTGTGAAAAATAAAATTAGAGACAGAAAAAAAACAAGTTACAAATAAGATTACGCATCAAGAATTCACCTCATAAAAAATTTCGCATTCGTTGTGAATGTATCTCATCTCTGCGAACTAAGTATATTTCACTCTCTATATATAGTGTTTTGAATATTCAACCCTATGTGCAATACCAAGTTCACTTTTACTTGGCCTGATCAACAACTTTCAAACCATATACACATATATATATATATAAATATAAACGAAGCGTTTTGCATTTACTTATCAAATTAAGGAGTTTCATCATGTATTATCTTTTTACTTTTTTTTGGTTGTAAATCGATCAATGAAGAAATAATGTGACGTTGTTTCTATTGTTTTCGCTTTTTGTGATCTTTGCACAATCAATTTTTCTTTATTCTCGTCGAAAAAATTCATTGAAATAAATTTATTGGATGAAAATTGGTTACAAAATGACATTTAAAAGAAAACAAAATTTGAATAAAATAAATCGTATATGTATGCGAATATTGATTTCTTCTGGTATTTTTTTCAAACATCGCATTTTATGAGCAAAAAAATTAGTATTTAAATTGAATAAGAATTGACTTACCAAACCAACAAGCAGGAAAAATACTAAGAACGTTCGCCCCAGCACAGTTTCACAGTAGACATCTCCATAGCCCACCGTTGACATAGTAACAATTAGAAAATAAACGCACGTCCAATATGATAACGGTTGTGAATTATCGAAATCCAATGGATCGCCAGAATTTTCCAGCTACAAATACAAATCACCAAATATTAACAATGCAAACATGGTTTCGAACCATCGATTCAAGTCAATGTATGTATACAATGCAAATATGAATATTGAATTACATGGCGGGGGGGTCAAAAATGGGCCGAACCCATATAATTTTACAAATTAATTGAAATGAACGATTTATTATACGAAGGCTACAATTAATCTCAGCTTACCAAGTGTATTATTCCGGCCGCTGTTAACCAAACTGATATAAATATTGAAACTAGCTGCGCCAGTCGTATCGAACTTGATGTTTTTAGTACATTTAAATATTGTAATATATCGGGAACGGTCATGAGTCGCAGCGCTCTCAGGAAACGAAGACCTAGATTCAAATTGGCATCCAATATGGAATCGAATAGAGGCGATTGGTTTATTTTATGGGAAAAAAAACCAGGACATAGAGGGGGAGGGACAGAGAGAGGAGATTGAACAAACGATTTCGTTATTACAATATAAAATCCCACTTTATAGCAATTGCTGGCTACTTACCGATCCATGTTCGCTGTAAATATATTGATACAAAGGACGGGGGTATTGTAAAATAATCTACGAAGCTATACATTTCTAACATAAACCATAGTTTATCGGATGCTGCTATGAACTGTTCCACGTCGACGACAACGACGATGACGACGACGATAATCCCAATTGGGCCAATGAAACAAAGAAAATGTAGAATGGAGAGAAAAAAAAGAAAAAGCCATTCGATAAATTCAATTGAATTCGGTCTCCGTTCAATTTCATACTTACTCGTATAAAAAAGTAAACCATAAAAAATATATTGAATGCAAGATCGATTTGTTGTGTGATATTTTCGCTAAACCGGACGCACATCTCAACATATTTATTCGATGCATCAACAAAATATATAATAAGCGATGCAATACTTAATATAAAAACGAGCACCACCTGAAACGACAGACAAAAAAAAAACAATATAAAGTCCAACATTCCAGCTATTGTCGTCTCTCAGCTATAAACAAAAAAAAATATTTTTATATATACACGCGAAAAGCAAAGCGATTTGCCATTTGTCTTGTGATCAATGCAATTGTTGTTGTAGCATCACACCGACATGAGGTTGATGCTAAATAAATCGTAAGTTACCATCGAAAAATGCCTTGTTTTGTGTGTTTTTAAAAAGATTCAGTTCGATAAATTTATGACGATAAATGTCACGTGAGCGTTCATGGTAATAAATAACATATCCATTTGTAGGCTATCAAAGCAGAGTAAAAGCGGTGACCGGATGAATGTGTTTGCTACTAGATTTGTTTGATTCTTATTTTGCGTTATTTTGTATGATGTTTTTTTTGCACTCTCTCCTTCTCACTTTCGTTTGTGTCGCTTTCTACTTGTTTCAGAAATACGCATTTACAAATATGTGCGTTGTCGCATGCGACACATACAAAAAATCCTGATCACGAGCCAAAAATATAGTGGAATTGGTAGCGAGAAAAAAAAAAGGTGACAAGTCGCGACCAAGCGGTACAGAAAATACATTTTTGCCAGCGTATTTAATCATGTTCAATTAGAATGTGAAAGTCAATGGAAACCTCATTTTGTTTTTATTACATTTGGTCCGAACCGGGTAAAAAGAATCTCAAAATATATCGCACAAAATATGCATAGAGAAGGATTTATTAATATTCGTAATTTACTAGCCACCGTCATTTATTTATTTCTCTGCATTTTTTGGTTTGCTTTGTTTACTTTCAAAACAACTTATCATCGTTTTTCATCGTTTGAATTCAAGAAAAACATGGGTCTGTCGCACATAGTTTCAACTGAATTTCGAATTTAGGTGAATGTCATAATTCCCAGCATGGTTGATTAAATGAAGTATTTTCTGAAACATGTGCACACCACTTTTATATCGGTCATTGCAGTAAACATAATTCATTGCATACTACATACAGACTGTATTCATTGTGAAAATTGAGTGTTTTTCGAATTTTATGTTTAATCATCGATATCCCATTCATTTAATAAACGGTATCAGAAAAGAATGAAACGGGAAATGAAAGAGAGAGAGAGAGAGCGAGAGAGAGAGAGAAATCGAATGGGCCTATAATAAAATATGGTGTCAAATTCCATCTTAATGGAGCGCACCGTACTGAGGAAAGCGATATATAAACGGGGAAATCCTTATGTACTCAAGTAAAATAAAAGTCAAGACACATAGCGTATATTCGATGTCTAGGAAACTACGATGTATGGTTTCTCATGTGCATTTTAGGTGGTTGGCTTTCTTCATCTATATAGGAGGCCAAGTGAAATTGTGTCTTTGAAAGTGACACGCGCAATTTCAACAACAATCAATGAATATGCTACCACGATGGTAATTTCCATCGACAAGAAAATACCATAAAAAACTGTAGTGAGTTGTTGAATGTGAAGCCATGGCAATAAAATTGGCTATTTTTGTTTTCCAGGATTTTTTTTTCTTTCCACTTTTCACTTATAGCTTATTCGTAAAATCGTTCAATTCTCTCTGGCAATGTGTCATTCATCTGTCAACACATAGCATCAAGCGCATATATCAATGCATATATAGAAATGAATATGTGCCAATGTATGACCGTGAGTGGTTTGTTTACAGGTTCAGTGGCTGCCATTGTTCGATTTTGGTTTTATCTATTGCCCTTCCGAATGTCTTCTGCAAAACTTTTATCCTCCAACATTGTGTTTCAATTTTCGGAATGCCAAAAAGTGATATAAAATCAAAGAGAGTGGACGAGAGAGACAGACACGTAAAATCAATTGGAGAGCAATAAGATTTTCGTATTTTCAAGATTCAACCTCGATTGATATATTTGATGTACACAAAAAAATCCATTTAATTTGATTGGATGTGAATGGATACATTCGATTTATTATAATCAAAGTCCTTTGTTTTCGCATTTCCGTTTGAATCAATCAAATTGCGAACAATTGCGATTAAATGCGATGGAAAATTGACCCCAAAACTGATGAACTCGCTGAATTCGTTCACTTTTTCTATTCATCTTCTTTTTTGTCTTCATCTGTGAAGATGTCAAGCGATTTTATTATCATGATTTTTATTGATTTCTATAGCTCCAGTTTTATGTCATCTATTTTTGCTTTTCTATTTATCTAGGAATCTCTTTCATTCTCTCGTTGAATTATGTCGAGTTCAAGGAAGTACACTAGTTTATACATAAATATAGTTTTACCGAAACTGCAGCAACGAATAGAATATGTAGACGCATAAACGCAGTTATCTAGTTGCTTCATGTATTTATAAAGATGCTGCCAGCATCAGCAGTACAACCAAAAAAGATATCGTCAACAAAGTTTAAAAATAATTGTGTAAATTACATCTATAAAAATGTACGCTATGTGCATCTCAAGCATTCTGTGTGACACACGCGTTTACCGAAGATCAGTATCAAATCAAAAAAAATCACCAACGACAACACCATCAAACGAGAGAGAGAGAGAGAGAGAGAGAGAGAGAGAGAGAGAAAAGCACACAAATTTGCGCGCCACACTAATAACGATTGAATAGATCGAAGACGCACAACACGACATGCAATCACCAGGCGACATGATATGTAAGTGTGTGTGTGTGTGTCGTTCATTCGCACGAATGTCACATTAATATAGCATATCGTACGTGTATGTAAATAAAATCGCGTCATGCATGAAAGTAGTCATATAACGGCAATCGAGTAATCGACTGTAAACGAAATCACTGCTCGAGAGATGAGCGCTGACTACAATCACCAATTGGTTTCATCCACGCATACATTCATCGGCTAATAATAAAAAAGTGATTTTCCGTAGTTTCAATGTGACTGCTTTTCATTTTCACTTTCTTTCTCTCGTTCTCTTTCTCTATTTTGCTTTGTTCTTATTACTCTAACGATTTTCGTGTAAAAAAAATCAACTTGTCTTTTCGTCTCATTGTGAATTGAACTATTTTTATAATTAGCTATATATTTTTTTGGCTATTCTTTGTCGCCTGCACGTTTTGTTTACAAGATGTAGTAAAACAAGCAATGTACAAGCGAAATCAGCGAACAAGCAAAAAAAACCGAAAATGTGACGAGATCGAGCATGGAACACACGGTCGATTGAAATGTTCAAGAATTGTATGCGAAATAAGAAGGCGCGATCAAGCGCGCACAAGTATGAACGAAATGAAAGAGTGAAATCAATTAAACAAATTTGCTTAATTGCTTGCCATGAGCACTTTTAGCTTGATTACTTGGCGAATTGCATGCATTCGAAATGCAATAAAATGAATGCTGTCTTCACCTTTTCCATCAGAAATCGTCTAAATGTTCATATTCACCGTTTCAGTTTGTTTGTTTGTTTTTGACTAAAGATAGCAGCACATTTCTGGAAAATTTGCGAATAATTAAGCATTTCCTAGAGAAACTAGAACACTTTATTCAATTGAGAAAAATGTGCGCGTATCGTATTTGTTCTATGCATAGGGTATTTGGTTGTGATATGTTGCCAAAATTCGACGAATTTTACAAATTGTAACACTGCAAGACACAAATTCCAATTGAAAACAGCAATTGCACGTGGCGCAACAAATCGTTGGAAAATTCAAATTAGATTAAGCGCCTCGAATAAAAACAAATTCGAACAATTGCGCAACGAATAAGGAACGTTCACAGTGCTATACCAAATTGCACTTAATGGAAGAATAATGGTTTGATGAAAACTGGTCGAAATCTATTTGCTCGCAAACAAGAGGCGAATATTAAACAATCGGATGTGACATTCTGAATAATTTCATTAACATTCAAACTTAAGTCGAACAACTGAAAATCCATCGAAAATATTAAACTCGAACAATTGAATTAAATTCCATTTTTCAACTGAAATTGTTGTACATCGGTATTTTACGAGGCAGATGCAGATATATTTACCATTCCATGTGTTCTATTTACAAAATTTCACACGATTCATAGGTTTTTGATCGCCAAATTCGAATCTAAATGCATGCAGTTGTGAAGTGGTTGAACTTTACATTTGTGAGACAATAATACAGCAATTTGTAGTTGAAATATGTGTGCGTCATGTTTTTGGAGTATTCATATTATTGTCGTTTGATATACAAAATTATGAAACGCAACATATCAAATTTGTTCCTCAACCAGTCAAACCATCAAATCATTTGGACCACATTTCACAAGTTCGGTTTGACATTCCGGATAATCAACTTATGTGGCTGCTATGTAATGACATGATCTAAGATTATGAGAAGAAGAATAAAAAACAAACTTTGAATCAAATCAAGACGGACACATTTTCGGAGATAATTTCCCTCTAGATGAATTCCATGAGTTTTTCCATTATGGAAATGTGTTGAACAAATTGAAGAAGAAATGAAAAAGAAGAAGAAGAAGAAATATTGTGCTGTGTCATTAGTTTTGCCTCGTCAATATATATATATATAATATATTATCGTCGACGATGTAGCCTGGATTACATTTTCTGTTTGGCATTTTCTTCTTCTTCTTCTTCTTCTTATTCTTATTCTTGTTTTATGTCCGTTTATATTTTATCCATTGCGTGGTAATGAATAAAAATAGAAAGTTTTACTAGTCCATGGGCAAAGGCGATTGTTGAACGGACGGTTCGTGTGTAAGCGCATTACTTTTCGCCATACATGTTATGTATATGTGAGGCAGAGTGGTTGATAAATGCCAAAGTATTGTGCATAGAAAATGAAAAAAAAAAAAAAAAAAAAAAAAAAACTGAAACGAGTTAGAACTAAGAATGTAACTTAGTGAAATGCCTCGCTGTGATTGAGTTTTTATTGCTTGCGTTTGGCACACCATTATTGTTTCTTACTCTTTTTTTTCGACCCATGCGTTAATGCCTACTCGATAAATTGAATATTCTGCATTTGACATTAATGTATGCAAACTGAATGAGTAACGGGGAAAAAGGTGAAAAAAACAAAACGAAATAGAACGAGTTCACACAAGCACAAGCTCTCGTTCATGCGATGAACGTCGAGGAATGTATAACATGTGAATGTGTATTTCTAGCAATTTACGTTGTTTCGATGTGTTATACGTATAATGAAAGCAATAACAAAAAATAGTGTACGATGTTGTGTGCACACATACCAAAATTCTGCCGGTTGTTGTTTGCCCCGATATCAGTTCGCCGGCCCAATCTTTGGCTTCGGTCATGAAGGTGCCCTCGAACTCCTGCTTCCCCTGCCTATTGGCTTTCTGCTCCTTCTGTTTCGGGTCATTTGGTGATAATTCTGGCTCCTTACGACAACACAAAAAAGCAAAGGCACGCCACAGCAAAACGACCGTAAGACCAGCCAAGAATGTGAAGATGCTCGACAACAGAAAACACCACCATTTTCTTTCAGTCAAACATTTTTCTTCTTCGCCTAGATCAGAAATACTGGCTGCTGTTGTTACGTATGCTGATAGTTTTAAAGTGAGAGCAAATATAAAGATAAGATGAATTTTGATTAAATAAATTTCAATATTTCCAATTTATGATATTTTCATTTTCTCAAACCAACATCAATGAATGGTAAAACAATGAATTTTTTAATGCTATTTTTTTTAATAAAGACTATTTTAGAATAGAAAAATTGAATAAAAGCCGAAACTGAGAAAATGGGCTTGATATAGAAAAACTAAAACAATTGTACACTTTGAACTTACCTCTTGTGGTTGAATCAATTGATATTGTTTGCGACATCCCCTATTCAGGTGCACCGCAAGCAAAGCAAACAAATATCCATTGAGTGATGATTTTCGCTAATATGAGTATATATAGTTTTGTGTTTTGTTTCGATTTGGTTTTTGTAAATTTTTTGCGACCCTTGTTGGCTATAATATCACAAAAAAAAAATAGAAAAATACCACCAACCGTACACCAGTAGTAATACAAAGAAAAATCGATTTCCAACCGAATAGAAAAATGGGACAAAACAGTTGTCGATATAACAAAACGATGAACCAAATGTGACAAACGTACTTTTCAGCTAAGGTAGGCTGTTAATAATTTAACATCGAATTTATCGGCTTCGACATCGATTAGAAAATAGATAAATTGTAACTATATCTTATTTATTCGGTAGATTGTAAATGTTTAAAACAAACAACAAGAAAAACAGACCGATTATTACATATATATATATATATATATATAGACAGAACCGTGTGGTGACAGTTAATACGACTGAAATCCATTTTAATATTTCATATTTATGATCCTGTGTGCTTGTAATACTCATTGTATACGTATAGGTATTCGCGGTGCGGCCAGGACGCATACACAAGTGACAAACACAAATTCTGTATGTGAAAGACTGTCGAAAAAAGTTCACTTTCTCTCTCTCTCTCACTCGCTTGCTCGTTCATTTTTGGAAAGACAAAATATACTATATAGTATTTAAAAAAAGGATAAAATGTGCTATAGCAGCTGAGAATGTAAATGAACTTTTGGTAGGTGCTACACCCACCCGATTTCGAAGTAGTGCAACGATGTACGTTTGACACGTACGTGACATACACAGAGAGAGATATGTTCTATAGTCTGTAGAAACCTACAGTAAAGAATTATTTTTTCCCTATATATGGGAAATTGGTAAAATCAATAGTTCAGAAGACTTCATGATTTGATGACTGAAAACGACATGATTTCAACATTTTGAGTATTAAGGTGTCATGAACTTTGCATTAAGGATTTGATTTTTTTTTATCTCATTTTTTTCTCTTAGCGCACGAACGAATCCGAATTTCTTTCTCTTTCTGCATGCAATCTTCACGATAATACAAAAATTATTTTAAAAGAAAAAGTAAAGCGTATGAGAAATAAAAGCTACAAGCACATTTCTAATAGCATTTCGCCGTTGGGCTACTTTTTCAACTGAACCAATCAATCTGGAACAGAACATTTTTGTGAGTCAAACAAAATGTAGAAAATTATAAAGAAATAGAAATTGAATAGGAGAGATAGACAGATGGAGAGAATAAAAATACAAAGTAAATTGCGTATTTTTTGCCGATGTCTTTTTTTATTTCTTTTTTTCCTTTTTGCCGTTTGTTTTGATTATTGTCTTGCAGAGAATGTGATTTTTCTTGTGCGATTCTGTTTCAACTTTAACACAGTTGCCCCATTTTTCTTATGAGGATTTTTTTGTTGTAGCTGTGTGTATGTGTGTTTCCTCTCGCTCCGTAGCTTTCGCTCTCTTTGGTTATATTTCGATTTGCTATGTATGTTTTTCACTGGTGTACACGGTTGTTGGTATTTCTCAGTATGCAATTCTGTATAATGGTCGTACCTAGTAAACGCTACGAAACCGTAACACTCCAGGGCTGCCAACGTTCACTTAAAATACACATCAAATAATACCATCTACATAGGTCACTATACTCTATTTGAGGCACAGGGAACGAACTTTTTTATACTATATACATTTAGATACGTATGTATATATATAATCGAACGAACGGCAAAGTATGTTGTGATATATGATGATCCGAGTCACAAACAAAAGTGATACAAACGCACAGACACAGACACACAAACACCAAAAGCACACAAATACACACACGAACGATGAAAGTGAGATAGACCAAGATCTCTTTCTGTGCTATCTATTCACTTAGCTTTATGTGCGAACCGAATGGTTTTTAGACTCTCGTTCTGTCGTTTTTGCACTTTTTTTCGATTCTGTTGAAATTTTCGTTTCGGATATATATTTTCACTTCGGGAATTGAAATGAAAAATTTCGGATCGTATTAAACGTAATTTATGCGTTGTGCTTGTTAGATGTATATATCGAAATATTTAGCGACACTTTCTCTTTTATTTTTATTTTCAAATGATTTTCATTTATAAAAATTCAAATACTCACGCACACACTGTGCCTTTTCTATCTCTTTCGTTTTCTTCCTTTTTGCTAAATTTCTAATTTTCGTTCGATTGGTGTTGCTTACTGATGATCTTTTTTCGGTTTAAAACACAGGGCAATAATACACAATTGAATAAATTGAATTTCAAACAGCAAGCTCTCACATTTGGAAGAATTTCTTTTTACGTTAGAAAAATAATAAATTTTTCTTTGCTGTTTTGTTTCATAAATTCTGTTTTATTTGTGTGGTGGTAATACTACGATAACAACTCGACGGATTATAAATCGCGTTTAAATTTCGTTCGCTTTTTTTATTGTTGTTATTGTGGTGTTTTTTTTTTTTAATTTTACTTTTCGCTAAAAATTTACGTGAATGTTGAATAACTTTTAAAGAAAGCGAATTAAGCACACGATTTTATTCGATTCATTAATTAAATTCCACCGTTTTCGGGTTTTTGCTTATTTTCTCCGTAATCTCTTGTTTTCCTTTTCGATTCCTTTCCTTTAATTTATATATATATAGAGAGAGAGTAATTAGTATAACGAGCTAAAGAAGAGACACACACTTTCGCGAACCATCTGCTGCCAAGTCGAATACAATTCTAACATGAGTTTCGAGTAACGAATTAAAAAAGTGTACGCGCGCGATGTAGCTACACGGGAATCGATACAGAATAAAGTATTTTTCTAATGCGACGGCGCATAAATCAGAACTTTTACACGGAGGGCTGCTGCTGCTGTTGTTGTACATGCAGTTTGAATGCTTTTCGTACGCAAATACAATCACATGGATTTGCAAAATACAGTATATACACACAAACACTTTAACACGCAGAACACACCATTGGTATGCATGTGCACGCACATCGCAACTACATTCACACATTTTGTGTTTTGTTTTCTTTGACTTTCACATAGCTTTTATTCTTTTCAGCAATGAGAGTCAGTGCAGTGTGATTCTATTTTATTTTTCTTTCGTTTTCCCAATCTTCATTGTATCTGCGAAAACTTTACCTTCTATATCTAAGCCATGTGATTTTAATTATGCAAATTTTTTTGCATCCTTTGATTCATACTATTCAACTTTGAATAATTGTTTATGCATGGCGGGGTTCCTTTTATATATTTTTGAAATAGTTTGAAAAGTTTTTAGTTCACACGAAGGGGAAGTGAGGATTAAACTCGATTTATATACACACATACTTGGACGCAAACATAACAATGTGCTGAATGGCATGGCAAGCAAAAGCTAGTAGCGGATTGAAGTAGACTGTGTGTCTCTTATGCCACACGCACGTACATACACTTATATATTTAAGCGTTCATGCGATGCTTATACGAATATAATAAAAATGTGCTTCCAAGCTTGATTATACACCGTTGAAAACATCAAAAGCACCGAATACACTTTTTATCGGTCACATGAATAGATTTTGGTTCGATTATATTGAATAGCATTTACGAGCGTCAATAACTAAATTTATGTCGATCACACTCAATTTGGGAGAGCGAACAAGAGAGATGAAGGAGACTGATTGAGTTGAAGAGAACTAGATTTTGTAAATAAAAAAGGCGCCAGCTGTGCTTTTTATTGTACCTTGAATTTATTTCAGTTCAAATAACTTGTGTATGCATTCAACGTGCGTTATTTCATACGAATTTGTTAAAAATAAAAAAAGATAGAAGAGAAAGAAAAACACGCTAAATTCTATTTTCGAAAATAAAGAAAAAGGGCAGAATAAGCAACGACAAACTTAAAATAATGTCAAATTAATTTTAACGAGTGCATAAATTACTTCAGATTTGTTCATTAAAATGGTCTATGAGATAACTAACTTATAATAATAATGATAATAAATGAAACTGAAACAATGAACCGCCGAAAACAGGCATTCAGAAATGAAATGACATGTATACTATATATGACAATGTGGTAAACAATGAGAAATGAATAATGGCCCATTATTATTCCAATGTTGGTTGAAAATGATTTAGTATTTATTGGGCGGCCGTCGGAACAATCTGCAAAATTACTTTGCGCTTTGCATCGTAGGCATAGCCATGCTGTTTGAAAATGCTGCTTTCATAGAAATCTTTGAAATTGAAAATGTTGATGGCTTTTGCGCGCTCGGTTAAATCCTTTTCAATGACCTCAACGTGAGTGGCAGATGGTCCGTCTCTCGCACGAATATATGCCAATTGTTCCAATGTTAATTGACGCAAAATAAAGTATAACAATTCCGAGTGATCCTTTTGGAATGATAAGTATTTTTGGAACGATGCTCGCATCTTTTTCATTACACTGAACTTTTGTGCTTCGACGAAACTTTCCAACATCATTCGAATGGCCATGTTCACATCAACCTCTTGAACAGAATCACGCAAATGCATTCGTGCATGTGCCTCTGACATACGAATTACACTTTCAATATGACGAACCGTTATCGGTAAACTACCAGTGGCCTGTGATTCTTGACGCAATTGTGAATACATTTTTGCAATTTTGTCTTGGTCCATGTTCTGAAAAACCGTAAGATTACAATTTTAGAAATATAATTTTTGGAAAAATAAATATTTAAGAATAAAGAGCCTACCGTCAGTTTTGGGCGCACATTGACTTTTGAATAAACAATGTACTTTTTGAGCAAATCTTGTGGAATTTCGAGTTCGTTTTGTGATTGTTGTGTGTTAAGTTGATTTGCTTCGGCAAAATTTGGATGATGCTTTTGATGTGATTTAATGACGAATTCGGCCAATTTTTGATCTTGCATCGGATCAAATTCATCTTTGACAACGCACAAAATATCAAAACGTGATAAAATCGGTTCAGATAAATTCACATTTTCAGAGAATGTCATACTCGAATCGTACCGACCACCAATTGGATTGGCAGCTGCAATGACCGCACAACGTGCTTGAAGCGATGTTACCAGACCAGCTTTTGAAATGGAAATCGATTGTTGTTCCATTGCTTCATGAATTGAAGTACGATCTTGATCGTTCATTTTATCGAATTCATCTGCGAAGTAAGTAAGTCGAATTGTTAAAGTTTTCATTTCTTGACATTTGTTTTAACATCACTATAAAAAATACATACCAATTAAACAAACACCTTGATCGGCAAGTACAAGAGCACCAGCTTCCAATGTCCATTCTTTTGAGACGGGATTACGTCGAACGTATGCCGTTAAACCGACCGCACTGGCACCTTGACCAGTTGTGAATACAGCACGCGGTGCAATCTTTTCGGTATATTTCAAAAATTGTGATTTGGCCGTACCTAAATTGGGCGAATACGCGATATTTTCAACAGTGTTAGTAAAAATGAAACGAATTTTGAAATTAATTCGTGTGTCTGTGTGTTTAATCATATTACCTGGATCGCCCATAATCAATACGTTGATATCGCCTCTGACACGATGTTTGTCGCCCGGATTTTTAGATTCACCACCAAACAACGACAATGCCAATGCACGTTTGATAAAATCATGACCATAAATAGATGGAGCCATACTGGTGATAATTCGGTCACTGATACGTGGATCTTTGCTCAATTTTTGAATGGTTGCAATGTCTTCATCAGTCAACGATGATACCACTTGTTTGCTGTCCTTAACGACAATATGATTGGCCATAATGACGGTGGCAAACACTGGAAAACCATGTTCGGTATTCAAAGAACCATCGTAATTGTTTGTATAAACGCCGGTTACTTCAATTTCATCGCCCGGTTTGCACATGTCGCATAAATCAGACAATAAAATACAATCTTTGCTACGTGGAATACGACCAGCTGGAATACGGCCAGGTGATTCTTGCATTGTAATTTTCTGATAATTACGATACACCGTTTGTTCCATATTTATTGAAAATGGGCCGCTACTTTGACACTCTGGACATGATCCCGGTTTGGTTTCGGTGTCTTGTGATTGTACAAATGGACCAAGAATGTAGCCACATTTCACACAATCGTATTTGATGACTGACAATTGTGGCATTACGCCGGTTGTTGCTGTAACAACGCCCAACGTTCGAACCAATTGATTTAAATGCAATTTCCGGAATGTTCGGAGCTCTTCGATCAATGGCAATTCCGAAATACGAACATGAATGTCACTGGTAACACGATCATAAGTTGGAAAAATGCTGAGCACCATATCTTTGGCGACACCATCAAAAATTTCCAACATTTGAAATGGTGCTTCAGGCAAGAAATAAGCAAGAACATGCTCTTTACTGGCCAAATCGGTGTAAGAAATAACAAAACTAGCACGATTTTGTTCACACATGCGACGAATCGCATCACGATACACATATTGACCTTTCTCATCAACAAATGTACGCAAAAAACTCTTGAAACGATTTGAGATTTCTGTGCGTGGTGCCAACATTGAAACCCATTCTTTTGTCGAATAACCTTTTGTGTCTTCCAAATTTTCGATGGATTCAATCATTTCAGCGTCTTCGGTATCAACTTCCATCGCTTTTTCGGCTGCCCGTCGTTTCAATCGCGGTATTTCATCTTCGTCATCACTTTGATCATAGACCAAATTACGTTCGTCGCGATGAATTCCCATTGCGCGATCGCGTTTGTTCATCTCTCTTTCGGCTGCACGTCGATCACCTTCAGATATATCACTGAAATCATCATCGTCCAATTGATCCATATCATAACGATCCAATTCCGGTCGTGGACGATAATCATTTTCCATGTTATCGCCAAACAATTCTTCGCCATCATCTTCTTCATCATCGTGACGCACCGTTGTATCGCCAAGAATTTCATCTTCGTTTTCAAACGGTTCGAAATCTTCCACTGGCGATGTCATCAAATTGCGAAGCAATTCACGACGCTCGGCTTCAATCGATGGTGGTGGTGAGCTTGGTGTATCCTAAAAATTAAAAATTAAAATCAATTCAATCTTTTTTCACTATTTTCACACGATTTTCAACTAATTGTAGAGCAAATGCAAAGTCTATATTCGTTTTTCATTTTACATCTTCGTTCCATGCATTAGCACTCATTTCTACGTTTATTTATTGTGATTTTTTTTAGACTTACACTCATTGTGTTTGGATTTTATGTGAACTTTTTCAACAAAACAAATAAAAATAAACCAATTTAAACGAATTTCTTTAAATTAAATTTTTAGCACACAGGTGAAGCGTTCAATATGCGACTCATGTATTGAAATAATGCTGTAAACTTGTCGATTGGCGCCAAAATGTGACAATACACATGAAATTACCGCCGATTTATTACGTTCGTGCTACTACTTCATTATTCCCTATTGGTAAAAAAAATGTGTTTGAAAATGGTCTATCTATGTAATGATGTATGTATGAGAGGGTTTTTAATAATTTTTCATTATTTTATTAAATTTCAGAAAAATATGTAAATATTTCTGATAATATAAATTTAAATGAAAATTATTGAAATGCCTACATTTCAATGTGAAAAGAGAATTCGTTGAATTCAATCGAATCGATCTGTCATAACAAACTCAGTTGTTATTCTAACCAAACAATTAATAGGTGCTGTAATTTAGAGTGCATAAGAAGAAAAGAATAAACATTAAAAAAAATGACAATTGTCCTTGGCGGTGGAATAAGCGGTTTATCGGCCGCATACTATTTACTCAAACAATCGAAAGTATCGCATGCTCCGAAATTGTTTGAAGCAAGTCACCGATTTGGTGGATGGATTAAAACTGATGTGTCATCAAATGATCGGAGAGTTCGTTTTGAATGCGGCCCAAGAACGATTCGACCAAAAGGTGTCAAAGGATTGAATACGCTTCAATTGTGTTCAGAGCTTGGTTTGAATAACGACGTATTGCCAATTAAATCATCGCATCCGGCGGCCAAAAATCGAATGTTGGTTGTCAATAATGAATTGTGTATGTTGCCATCAACGTTGGCTGGTGCATTTAAAACTCTTCCGCCATTCACACGACCATTAATTTATGGTTTTTATCATGATTTCAGGCATAAATACACAGACAAGCCATTAATGGACGATACCATTTACAATTTTACTGAACGTCGTTTTGGCAAGGAGATTGCCGATTACCTTATAAGTTCCATGATTTGTGGCATTTGTGCGGGCGATGCAAAAGAGATTAGTGTGAAATTTTTACTCAAAGATCTATTCGATTATGAACAGAAACATCAAAGTGTTTTAATGGGAATTTATAACAAAAGTCTAGAGAGAATATTACAGAAAAATGTCGCAACATCGCCAACAAATAGTGAACCAATTCAAAATTGTGAATTGGTTAAACAATCGATTACACAAAAATGGAGTATTTATTCAATGAATGATGGTTTGGAGAAATTGCCAAAAACATTATCGGACCATTTAAAATCAAACGGAGTGGAATTGAATACGAATGCAAAATGTGAAAATATTGAATTTGGAACGAATGGAGCAAATGTCACGATTAATGGCAAGAGCTATGAGACCGATCAATTGGTTAGCAGTTTGCCGGCTTTTGAACTTGGAAAATTGGTGAAAAAACAACATCCACAACTGGCTGATGAGTTGCTTGCTATTCCATATGTCGATGTGGCCGTTATAAATTTACAATATTCCGGAAATAAAAATTTACTGAAAACACCGGCCTTCGGATTTCTAGTTCCACCCGCACAGAATTTACCAATTTTGGGTGTACTCTTTGATAGTTGCTGTTTTGATATGGGCGAAAATACCGTATTGACGGTTATGATGGGCGGTAAATGGTTTCATGAACGTTTTGGCAACGGCAATGAACAGGATTTGTACGAAAAAGCAATTGAACAAATTCAACGAATTTTAAAAATTGACCAACGTCCCGATGCATTCAAAGTGCACATTTTGAGACAATGTATTCCACAATATATTGTTGGACATTTTGATCGAATTGATCGAATCATGCGATACATTGAACAAAATAAATTACCATTGAAAGTATGCGGAACAGCTTATGACGGTGTTGGTGTAAATGATGCAATTTATTCAGCCAAAATGGCAATCGATTCAATTAAAAAGTAATCGTTTCTTTTTTTCAATGTATTGGATAACATTTTAATATATAACATACATATTTATGAGTTTTTAAAGAAATAAAAATGAAATATATCACAATAGTTTATAGTATTTTTCTTTGAGTTTTTCTAATAAAAATTTTTGATAATGTGTTAATCCAGGTATTTTGGCCAATGTTGAAATGTCATTGTTGTAAAGCGAAGAGTATTGTTGACATTTACAGGCATCGATCACACTTTTAATCGCTTCTAATGTGTGTCTAGAATGCCTTTGATAGCATTCGTCTTGTTCATTGTGTTGATAACGGCCACCATTTGAAAAATATTCATACAATTTAACATTGGATGGTGATTGCCGTGCTGATGGATATTCCAACAATAAAATTAGTAAAATCAGTGTAATTTCATGTTTTTCCAGAATCTCTTCGTACAAATCTTCGACTTTTCGTTCACAAATGTCGTCACAGATTTCCGTGATTTTTTCCAATGCACTTTCGAAATTTCCACAGCGAATGCATTCATTTGCGGCCAAATCGATATCTTGCGCCCGATGGGCTGGCGACACAAAATTACTTGTCACCTCATAGTTTGGATTGATTTCTTTCATTTCACGAATAACAGCCGCTTTAATGGCAGATTCATCGTTCAGCTGCGTTATAACTCGATGATAACAACTCAATGCGCCTTGAGTGTACGGTTTTGTGTTACTTCGCAAACACAAACGATTCGCATCAGCTTCACGATAAGCACGAGCCGATTTTAATAGTAAATGTCTTTCAAATACTGGATTATTTAATGCTTTTTCACATTTTGATGCACCATCATAGCAGAGAGCCGCATATTCGAACATTCCACCATCCGAAAATTGAACGGCTAATCGTTGGAATTCTTCGGATACTTCGGATACATTTGGTGCAAATCGTCTAAATGTCAACAAAACAAATTGAGGGTGTAGACAATGAATTCGATTCATATAACAAAAACTTATAAAATACTTACTTGAACACAATTCGCTGAATTTTCTTTAATTTATTTGCCGTTTGTTCAAATTGTGTCAATAAATCGTTCGGAAAGTTTGACATTTTGTTTAAAATAAAAGAAATAAAAAGTTATCAGGCTTAATTTATTGTATTCAACAATTATACATATTTTCCATTCGTTTTATCCATCTGCTGTCATTTGACCAATCAAATTGTTGTACTAGAACGAGAGAATAATCTATATGTTTTTTTCTTCGTATTGTTTAATGTCATACACAAATGTTTGTTCTCCGTTCGTTTAGTATGCAATGCTCTTTGTACAAAACGAAATACTGAACGCTGAAGCTTAGTGTTTTTGGTCCTCGCGAATGAAATAATTGACCGGCATCGAATTAAATATCAAAAATGGGTGATGAAGAAGAACCAAAGGAGTATCGCTGGGAAACCGGCTACGAACGAACATGGTATGGTTTAAAAAAAATCCATTTAGTGTCCAATAAACGATTATTAATGATGAATGTAAATGTTCTAGGGAATCGATTAAAGAAGACGAAGAAGGACTGGTGGAAAGTGCCATTATAGAAATCATACAAAAAGCCAAACGAAAACGTCAACTCAAGAAACGAGGTCATCGGCGACTTGGAATGATGAGACACATTTATTTAGTTATCGACTGCTCGGAATCGATGGGTTTACCGGATTTAAAACCAACTCGTATGATTTGCACAGTAAAGGTATGCAAATGGTGTTGAAACTTTCACTAACAATTCCTACCAAGAACATTATCCATCTGCTTGATTTTAGCTTCTGGAAATATTTATCGAAGAATTTTTCGATCAAAATCCGATTTGTCAACTTGGAATCATTATGATGAAGGACAAACGTGCCGAAAAATTGTCCGATTTATCGGGCAGTGCTCGAAAGCATATTCGTTCATTGAAAGATTTGATTGTGTGCCCAGGTGAACCGTCACTCCAAAATGGTTTAGATTTAGCACGAAAATCATTGAAAATGTTGCCATCGCACGCTAGCCGGGAAATTGTTTGTATTATGAGTAGTCTGACAACGTGCGATCCCACCGATTTATTAGTTACAATAGATACTTTGAAAAAAGATGGAATTAGATGTAATATGTTGAGCTTGTCGGCTGAAATACGTGTTTGCCGTCACCTAACCGAACAAACAAATGGTAAGTGACACTTGGTGGCTCAACATTTTAGGCAGAAAAAGAAAATTGATTTTTCATATATATTCTTCTTCTTCTTCTTCTTCTTGAAACTATAGGCACTTATGCCGCCGTCTTAGATGGCGCACATTATCGCGATCAATTGATGCAGTACATCGATCCACCGTTGGCAAATCGAACACAAGAAAATTCACTCATCAAAATGGGATTCCCTCATGTACAGCACGAAGAAGGCAAAGATCCACCGTTAACAATGTGCATGTGTCACATTGACAATACAGATGAACCGAGTAAATTGTCAACGGGTGGTTTTAATTGTCCGCAATGTGCCAGTAAATATTGTGAATTACCACTTGAATGTCTATCGTGTGGACTAACATTGGTATCTGCACCGCATTTGGCTCGGTCATATCATCATTTGTTTCCAATTGCAAATTTTATTGAATGTCCATTCAATCAACAAACCGACAAATGTTATGCATGTCAAAAAATATTTACCGATGGCGCTGCCGATAAAACGATTTACCGATGCCAAACATGTAAAAAATATTTTTGCATGGATTGTGATATATTCATCCATGAAACATTACACACTTGCGTTGGCTGTGCCACAACCAAGTAAAACAATTGATGTGTAGCATTGCTCAATTTGAAGGACAATAAAAATGATTAAATTAAAATAAAGGAGCTTTTTTTGATTTGTCGATGTCTTAGTTTCGAAAGATAATTAAAATTAATTTATTTATTCTTGTTTTACTTCCGGTTATTTTCATTTTGGTTTTTTTTTATTCATTTTTCATTTCACTTCTTCTCACAGTTATGAAAAGAGTACATACATTCGGATTCTATATATAGTTTAAATACAATTTTCATTTTAGTTCTGATTTTCAACAACAAAATAATTTATTAAATAAGATTTGATGGTAATTTGTATGCAAAGCTTCATTTTTGATTCGCATTTTGGGTTTTCATTTCTTAGAGAATAATATGTGTATAAATAAATAGAGATCTTTTTGTTTTTAAGTACAATTGGTTTAGAAGGAGAAAACAGATTCATAGTAATATGTGTGTGATTGTTTAAATAATTTTCTGTTTGAAGGATAAATCAACAAATTACGCTACATATTATTGTTATTATTATTAATATTAATATTATCATTATTGGGTTCACTTTTTGAATGCATACATGGAACATCTGGGGAGGCATTGCACTATAATCTTTTGTTTTTGTGGTATGTCATTTTAATACGATTCTCATATTTATGATATGAAAAAGAAATACATAGAACTTGGAAATTTTCGTTTTTGTTCGCTTCAATCTACTAATTCATGAAATCTATTTACAAACTTACACTTCCAATTACACGAAAAATAAATGATATAAATAAATATGTATATATGTACAAAATAAATATTATTGCATGAATCTATTAACGATAGTTAATACTGTAATGAATTACCAAAAATCACTTCCGAAGCGGTTGTATGGATCAGATCAAATATTGATAATGTGATGTGGTTTTGATTCTAAAGCATGTGACATTTTCCAAATGTGAATCCTTACATCTACACATTTTCTAAATCGCCGTGCAAATCTTACAACACAATACAACAAAGAAAGATTCAAAACATCATCTTTATTTCATCTGCTAACCGTTAAAACGGTCAGCAGCTGAGATTAAATCGATGTTCTATGTTTTCACAGAACACAGTACACAGGACGAACAAATAAAAGAAAATCAAAAGATTACACTTTAGGCTATTCATATTGTGATGTTGCCATCGTTTGTTTGGCATTTTTATGAATGTTTTCGATCGTATAGCTTCACTTTGTCCGGTACTGCTGCTTTTTCTACAGGTATAATTTGATAAAGGTCATCAAGTGTTCGTATATAGACTAATTTACGCCAAAATTTCGAACTGATGAACGGTCTTGCCATCCAAACGACAGATTTTAGCCAAAATGTTGGATGAACCATATACAAATTCTTTAAGCTCTTTCTGATTCGTCGATCCAATAGATGATAGCATTTTTTAAGCCATGGCAATGGCGGCACCGTATGATTCGATCCACCGTGCAAATAAATCAAAATATAATCTTCAGTCACAAACTGGTCCAATGTTTTAATGACATACCTGAAAATGTGCGAGAAAAGAAAAAACCGACAAATCGGTGAAATGATGCTGTTTTGCATTTGTATGGATGGCAAGTGATCAAAAAATGTAAAATATGTATACTCACAAAAATAAATTTTCCATCACATAATGATAGTCGGCTCTTGATCGATCTGGTAGGTAGCATGCACTAAAAATAACGATGGCATTATGTCCCGGTGGTTTAATGTATCCACCATGCGATAGACATCGTTTGTATGGTTCAATCACTTTCATATCAATATCTCTTGTTTGACCATTTGGCAATGTGACCGAAATGCCAGACGTTTGCATAACATTTGCACTTACACTAGTTAAAACCGATTCATGATTCGATGCTGGTTGACTATTGCTTTTGGTTTCCTTAAAACTTAGACCATCCTCGTCTTCAATATCGTCATCATCAAAACTATTATTCGATATTGTTTCAACCGATGAGTCGTCATCTTCTTTGGTTGACATCAATTCAGTGGTCAATGGGATTTTTCGTTGGTTGCCCATTTTTGATGGCGTATTTATTGTTGTTTGTTTACCTGTGTTATAATTGGTTAATGTTACCGATTGAAATGTTGGCTCAACGGATGCCTGATATTGTGAAACATCTGGTTCCGATTCGCCACTGCTCAAATGTGATTTATCAGTAAATAGATGCTCTTTGGCTTTAGATGGCAAACATAATGTGTCAATGCGTTGGTGTTGTTGTTGTTGTTGTTGTTGCGTAGGAGACACATGCATTGGTGACTCACTTCTCGTATTTACAAATGAATTATTGCACGTTCCATCGAATGTGTTTGATGAATCGGGTGATAGATCATCATCATCATCGATGCCATCACTACAACCATTGCCACCGTTGCCGCTTTTCACCATCAACGGATGCATATCGACCAATGTCATGCCAATCCGTTGTTTTATTGAATTTGTATTGACTAGTATGCGATTGTCTAAGGAACTATCTTCAAATTTATTGTCATGCTGATCAGAATTGGAGTAGTTTCTATTCGATGTATGCGATTTTACATTACTTAGAGACGAATTACGGTCTGCAGCTAGTTGTGTTGTTGTTGTCATCGATGATGACTTCTTCGTCTTTGTCGTTGTTGGTATTTGGTTTATGCTGCCAATTTTCGATGTGGCCGAAAATCCAATCGAATCCGATGCAGCCGTTGAGTTCGTTTTCTGTTCCATTTCTGGTGATAAACCAAATGATTCCTGAGATATTGTTGTCTGTTCTGATATGTCCATTATATTATTTTCTGTTTCTGAGTTAGGGCTATCATCAATGTTTTGACTGCAAAACAAATACACACATAATAAACAAGACAATTAACACACTTTCTATTTCACTATTTCTATGTAGGATTTTTTTTTTCGTGAAATTAATAGACTTATAAAAAAAAGAAAATATCTCAATAACTACCTCATTTTTGCGTTGATTAAAATAAATGCAGCCAAGTTTTTTTTTGATTTTTGTATCAAAACATTATGATACACATTTACACACCGAGACTGATTTTCTCATAGAAAATCCATTTATTAATATCCTTTTGTATTGTAAATGTCAAACACACGAAGTAGTTCAATTCTATTATTTACTACATCTAATTAGTGTTGTACAAAAACCAAATGCATGTTTGATTTTATTGGCTGTAAACGAAAACAAAAAATAAAATAAAATAAATTTCTCAAAAATTCGAATTTTTTCGTTATTTGATTTTTTTTTTTCAATTTTTCATAGTTTTGTGAAAAATGAACAAACAATATAAAGTGCAACGTCGTGTCAAAATTTGAATAAATAATTGAAACGAATCAATATACGCTGTGAATGAAACGCATCCATTTGTTTGGCATTTGGACGCCATATTGATTTTTACGTTACTTCAACATAGTTTACGCATCAAAACTTCATAAAGAAAAAAAGATATATATTTTTCGTAAGCTTATTGTATTCTCATCATTTCCATTGATTTCATAAATTTATGGATTGAGTGTGTACGTTGTTTTCATTCTGTTGTAACAATAGAAACTATTTTGTATATAATATGGACCATCCAAGTCCGGCTAAACCAGATGCATCTGTCGAATTAACACCATCGACGACCGCAATCGATACGTCAAACGATACGAAGCGTCGAAGGTATAGGATAACATTCACAGAAATGCAAAATCAATTCTAATTATTATAATATCAATTTGAGCAAATATTTTATTTAATTTTGATTTTTTCTTGTGATACTAACAAATAAATTGTATATAGTTCATCTCGATCGATAAAAAGGAAGCGTTTTGATGATGAAATTGTTCAGTATAGCATTGGAGTACCATCGACACAAATAAATCGAATTGGTCGATCTCGAAGGCAATCCACAGCATCGGCTGCAAATACACTATCCACGAGTACAGTACCATCAACAATCTCTTCGCCACAAGCACATAAAATAAGCAACGAAACGGCTGTGACTGTGGCAACAATACCACAAACTACAACGATAACAGTACCGCCAGTAACAACAACAACAACGGCAACAACAGCAGCAGCAGTATCATCTGCATCAATAATAGCAGCAACATCACCAACGACAACAACAACTACACCAAGTGCCGAACCACCATTGATACGGGAACCAATCAAAAGTGAATCAGTGCAACAAAATAACACATCACCGATACAACAACAAGTGAATATTTGCACAACGCCAGTACCACTGACAACCGTTAATTCAACAATGATTCCACAAACACCATCGATACAAACAACGATACAAACAGTACCGTCGGCCGTTTCATCGCCAGCACCATGTAAGTTTATTATAATGATGTAATCGCACATTTATATTATTTAAATTCATTTGAATCCCTTGCATTTAAATTTTTTAGTGCCCGAAAAACGACGATCAGCTAAAACAATGTCAAGCTCGAAGAAAAATAAAAAACACAAAAAAGGCGAAGAAACGCAAAACAAGGGACTGGGACGATGGAAACCAATTGATGATTTATCATTGATTATCGGCATTCAACAAACGAACGATTTACGAATGGTTCATCAAGCTGTAAAATTTTCATGTAAATTCACATTTCAAGAGATGCAAAATCGTTGGTATTCATTGTTATATGATGAACCTATTTCACGCATTGCCGTTGCGGCGATGCGTAATTTACATCCAGAAGTGGTAGAGAGCGTACATGCAAAAGCATTGTATACAACACAAGAAGAAGAATTACTTGGCACCATTAAAAGTGTATGTTTTTTTTTCTTCTTCGTTCTTATAAGAAAAAGTTCCAATTGTGATTTATTGGTTTCTCTTTTTTTTATAGACCGATGCACCAAATCAAGAAACATTTCAACAATTACTTGACAAAAATGCGCATACATTTTATCCGGCACGAACGGCCAAAGCGCTGTGGAACCATTGGAATTTGATGAAACAATATATGCTATTGCCAGATCAACAAATCTTACCCAATAAAAATCCATTCACATTTTCCGCATTACCCGATGGTGATCCAAATATAAATTTTTCGGATCAAGAGGATAAATTGAACGATGCCGATTTGACTGAAGTACGAGATGAAGCGCTCGAATTAGAATTAGCATTGGCCGATCGCAAGTGTAAAAAGGAAATTCGTCATTTGGAGAATGAACTACCCAGATGGACGGTACTAGTCGATTCAATCACAGGCATTGGCATCCATCCTGAATTTGATAATCATACATTGGCCGTATTGCGGGGTCGTCTTGTCCGTTATTTAATGCGATCTAGAGAAGTAAGCTATTGATGGACAAATGCATTTTATTTAGTTGTAACAATAACACTGATATTCATTATTTATTCAGATAACACTGGGCAGAAAGTCAGAATATGATAATGTCGATGTTGATTTACTGTTGGAGGGTCCAGCTCAAAAAGTGTCACGTCGACAAGGCACTATTAAATTACGAAGCAACGGTGATTTTTTCATAACAAACGAAGGAAAACGGCCACTTTTCATCGATGGCGTACCATTATTGAATGGCAACAAAACGAAACTTAATAACAACTGTACCATCGAAGTAAGTGTCACATTTATTGAATATTTGATAGACACATGTGTCTTATTAATCTGTCAAAATGTAATATATTCACAGATTGCTGGACTTCGTGTTGTATTCATGATAAATGTTGAGTTGATCAATGCGATTCGGCAGGAGAGCGCCAAAATGAACGGAGCATTAAATTAGGATTAATGATTTTCTGTATGAAGAAAAAAAAAAGAATTAAAAAAACAATTTTTTTGTTTCGAATTTATAAATAATATATAACAAGAGTGTTTGTTATATAACAAGAGTGTTTACAAAAGCAAATAAATGCAAACAATGTAGATAGAAAGTTTTTTTTTTTCAATACCTTATAGATACCATAGAAAACAAAAATTTCTTGACGTATTCAATTTTAACGATGATTCATTAATATTTATTCGTAAATAAATGTTTAATAGATTCGTATCTAATCGATTGGAATCTGTTATTTTACTCTATTTTGTTTTTTGCTGACGTCAGCGCCATCTCTGCCGCATGTTCATGTTATTTCATCATAATTTATATGAATTTCTCACTCATACATGCAAACATCATGCTCAGAAGAAAGAAAAAAAAAACCAAAGAGAAAAGCACATTGTTTCATGCTTTGTGTGAACCATTTTCCATGTGTGTGCAGTAGTAGATTGAGTTTCGAAGCGAACGCATGCATTTCAAGTTTTGATTATATATATTTTTGAATAAGAACTATAGACTACACATTGATAGATTATTTTGACATATACATTTTTGCTATTTTTACACATTTCCATACCGAATTCATGCATACAGCTTATTTTTTTCGTCTTCTGTCGGAAACTTAAACATTCTGAATCGCATCGATCGAAACATAACTGAAAGTGAACGATTGTCAGAAGAAGTATAAATTAAATTACTGGGAAAATCCAAATCGGCAGACAAATTATGATTTCACACAAATTTGTGTGAAACGAGACGAGAGCGGGAGATAGAGCAAAAGAGCGAATGGGTTAAGAATTCATATTGTGTACAGTTTTCGGCAAATCATTCGATGTGGAAATTTTGTTGGGAGAGGTAAAATTGTGACAGATAAACAGACATTGAGAGAGATAATTAGAAATGTTCATGTAGTGTAATGTCAACAACAAATTAAATTGAATGCGAATGATTTGTGCAAGGCAAAAATAGTGAATTGAGCAGACGAATTTTGTCAAAATACGTTGGTGGTGGAAACGAGAGAGCACAACAATCTTGAAATTCGATTCACCGAAATTGGCCATACAAAATCATACACAGAGAGCGTAGAATAGAGTGTGCGTTTATTTGTCTCTGTGTGTGCAAGACAGTGGGCTTCGTTGCCGCCAAGATATCGAAAGCCAAAACAACAACCTTTTTGTCTGCACTGTTTAATAGAGGTGAGCATTTTTTTTATATACATATTTGTTGCTTCACACAGATGTTTTAGCATCATAAAAAAAAGTACAGATGAAAATGATAAACAATAGATAAAATAAATTTATTACTGTGCATATATGCATAAATTTGAACAGTGCCATATTTCACATTGTTTAAAAAAAATCCAACAGACACCAAGTTGGTTGAATCCCGTAATCGGAAAATCACATCGGAAATGGTGTGCTGGATGAATTCATTTTTTCAATCACTCTCACATAATTAACATTGTATCTCGCATAATCATTTGTGAAAATTTGATTAATTATTTTGTTTTCCTCATATTTTTTGCGGTAATATAGAGCGCTTATCTTTGCGGCTGCCTTTTTTACCCATTAATTTTATATGATAATAGTGTGTGCATGTGCATGGTGTCTAGGCGCTTATGTGTCAACTGACTCGTGCGAATCTGTATCGCATGATGCATTATGTTCGATTAACTGCAAAAATTGCTTGCAATTATCTTGGAAGGGAGAGGGAAGCTGGTTTGGCAGACAAAAAAAAACTTTTTATTGCGTACGCAAACGAATCATTCCCGTTTCGTTTTTGAAATTACCTATTTCGAGGTTTAATTTTTGAACGGTGTGTCGTTTCTTTTTTCTGTTAGTTTTCGTTTCTATTTTTTTACTTTCAAACGCCGAAAAATCGATGTGTTAGCTAAAGTGTGTTGCAAAACTTAAATTCAATCGAAAACCAAACGTACGAACCTTTTTTGTACGTTGATGACGTAGTTAAGTTTTATTTGAAAAAATAAAAACTACTATTTATTTGTAGTTCATTGCTCACCATTTTTTCTATCGTGAATGGATTACCGGTGATTACATTGTTTATTGCAGCGTTTAGCGATTAATTGTGCGCATGTTAGTGCTTTCGTTTAGATACTTTGAAAGAAAAAAAACCCTTGTTATGGTCACTTGTAAATACCACAATATTTTCGCTGAGCTCGTGGATTATCACTTGATAATTTTCATTGAATTTCCTTGCGCTGATAGATGCACACACACACATTCAATACACTATGTGTCACGAATTAAATTGTAATTACGAATGCCTTTTTTCTATTCACTTTTCATTGGAATAACATTTTTTTCATAGTTTGTTTTGGAAACTATGTTGAATGACTTTGAATGAAATAAAAATCAATTGCAAGTTCGTCACAAAATCGATTTTTCTGCAATTGAATTGAATTCATATATAGCAATCAGTATAGACATTACATTGTAAACATTTTGTACAATTTAACATAATATGATTAGAGTGAGACAAAAGAAGACACATTCATAACGCATTTCAATTGTTGATCATGTGCTTGTTCAATTTGAAAGAGCAAAATTGAGTTCCAAAACCAATTCAAACACAAACAAAATTCAAAAAATAATGCAAACAAATACGAATGAGACAAACAAAAAAAATGATGCAAAAACAAATTGATTTGCTTCAATCATTCATTCAAATTGCATCTGTTTTATTCATTTTGTCCGTATGCAATATAAACTCAATTTTACTCCGGAAACTCTGGATCTTACGTATAAATGTATGAGTGCGATATTTTTGTATGAAATGCAATTTTCAGTTGGCTTACGAAGTCTATCGAAAGCTCGGTGGGAAAATTCCAGTGAATAACAGGTGCGTTGGATGTTTATTCTAAAGGTCTAATGACCGCCTATAAATTCTCCAGCTATGGAAATAATTACATCGACACAATTACACAATAAAACAAAACGATGCACAAATCGAATGACACAAGGAGTCATATTTTCAAATTGAAATCATATTTTTCGTAATAAAGTTCAAATTGGAAGTGATTGGACAAATTCAATCATCTGAAATCCGATCAGGAAATCGAATATAGATAGATTGAATAGTTTTGATATCAGACTTAGTCACTTAAAATCAACCGCATGATTGATTTATTGTTTATTTCCGAGTTGGTTTCCTTTTTTTTCTTCTTATTTATAAGAAATGAACATTAAAAGTATTGGTTTGCTTGAGTATCAAATGACTTCTGACCAGAATAATTGTAAAATTTTACAGCATTTTTCCATGTTGGATTTAAAAATCAAAAATTAAATTAGTTGAGCGTTTTAATTTGAACATTTTCAAATGATTTGTGGTAAAATTTGTGGATTTTTCAATATTTTGCTCACAAAATCGGCGAGGCCAGTTGTGGAAAATCAGTTTCGTGGTTTAAACACTACTTAGAGCCTATGTTTATGAAAACTAAATCTGTGTGAAATGTATGTGTTCGAAATGGAAGTAAGAAAATATATAGCGTGCATTTTTCCGCATTTACATTCATTGAAATGTGAGTCTTCGGTTTGTAAAGAAAACATTGAACGGTCTTTTGATTTTTAGATAGAATTTCGATCAATTCGCCTTAAGGTGGATTGTGTGACTTTTTCATTTCTTTCAAACGCAATACAGTGTGTGTTTTGAATTTGAACGAGTTGCATATCATGTGGTAAAAGTTGTGTGTGTGTGTACACTTTTGTCACAAATTCCAATTGTAAATTGGCGTGGACGAGCGCACATAGGAAGCCACTTGTCCAGAGTGTCTATCTTATTTGCATATATTGTTATTTATATATGCGAAATTCGTCTCGATAGTTCATGATGTGGATGTCGTTGTGAAACGCGATCGAATAAATCACATACACTGAGGTTAACATTGGAACGCAGGCAACAGCTGTGTGTTTGTGATCGTGCGCGCGCGCGTTCCACTTGTCCATTCATTCAATCGGTCGAACCAGGCGAAGTCGAGCCTGCTTAGAATTCTTGAGTATGTTTCATGCGGTTATTGTGTGAGTTGTTTTTGGTGTGATAACGTTTTTATTTAACGTTTTTATTTGAAATCAGAGCTTGTTTGATGTTGTGCTTGATCAAACGAATAAATAATTTGTTTTTTTTCGGTACTATTATTTTCAGTTCATTCATTTGGTTCGAAATTTCCGGACGAGATTTGTCGTTGTGCTATACAAATATTTATTTTTAACACAAAATGATCAATATTTAGTAAAAAAATAGTAAATATTCGAAACGCCTTTGATTTGCTCTGGAAATTATTAATTTGAAAGCGAACGTAAATTAATCAATATGTCAATCAATCAAATTCTTTTTTTCTTTTCAGGCGTATAGAAAACATTGATTTTCTCTTTTGGTTTTCATGATCAAATTATAAATGAATTTTGTTTTTGGAGGCATTGCTGTTGTTGTTTTTGTTTTGATTCGCAAGTCGATTGTCGAATACAGAATTTTATCGGAAGCTCATCGAACATAGGAAAAAAAGAGAATAAAGATAATTAATCGATAATGAGCAATATTAATCGAATGATTATAGACCAGTCGAAGCAGTCGTTCAGATGCATTTGCGACGACTGAAATAGTGTGTCGCGCTCAGTTTCAATTCCAAAAAAAGGAGAGTTTCATTTTGTGTCATTTTGATTGAGAAAAACGTTTTGTTGTTGCTGTTGCTTTCGATATTCACTTCTCTCTCGTTCCGGCGCAACGGTAGATTTTTCTAAAATTAGCGTTTATCGGTTTATGTTAGAAAATGCGACAGATATTCCGCATCTAAAATATAATTTGATATATCACCGTCAACGGATTTTCTTCTACACATTGATTCGACTTTTCAAGAGAAAAAAAAAATCATTTTGAAAATAGCAGCATTTCGTTAGTCTCGACCAATTCCAAGTGTTTCACTGTTCTTGTTTTCGTTTGTTTCGATGTATGTGCACGTTCTGTTGAATTGACCTATTTTGAAGAAAAAAAAACCGAAATATATAGTACGATGATATACCAGCAAAGTATTTAGTGTCCGTGGACATGTGTTTCCGTGCGACACATGCATTTACAAATGTGAGAGCTAGAAATAGAGAGACCAACAACAACAAAAAATTGCCAAAGATCAAAAAAAGTATTTACCGGTTCATTGATAATTTTAAGTGATAATCAATTGAGTATTGTGATTAAAACTACATAACACCTACATACACATCAATTCGAGATGAATTTGTATTTAGTTTTGTTTTAATTTATCTCATTTTGTCGCGTCAATGAAATCGTTTCAATGGCCTTTAAATTATTTACATTGATTAATTACGCAAAATATACATTTACGCTGAGCAAAATAAGCGGCACAAGTTCCATTCAAAAAAGATCATATGAATCTTGATGTGTCTCTGGTGAAAACATCCGATTCTTTGTGGGCAGTTGGCGATAGTATGATCCCACGAAATTAGTAGACACATAAACTCGCCAAAACTAAATTCATTTCAACCTTAATTCATGCGAATTCTGTGCACACAGAAAAAAAAAATGTACCCGATGGTAGTTCAACTGAATCGCGAAGAATGTGTGTTTGTCATAAAAACACGAACCATATCATTTTATTTCATATATCAAATGTTGAAATACAGTAAAAACCGCATTAAACGAGCATTCATGTGACAAAACATTTTTTAATCGTAAGCAAACCTAAAAAGTAATTTGAGTAATTGCGTTGACGTTGTATATCTATCCCTTATCTTTTTGAGTTATTTCAAAAACACACACAGAGAGACATGCTCATCATTTGCATTTTTTTTTTGTAAAATTAACAGTCATCGGCAGATAATATAAATAAAAGATTTTTTCCACAAAAAAAAATTGTGGGCTTCAAATTAATAGTTTGTCGTAAAACTGCTGATGCACCAAAAATTCCGGCTGAAAATGTCGGCTGGCACCCCGATTAATCGTTTATTTATCACACTTACCCATTTCTCATTCGTACGTTCGCTTAAAAAAGTGTTGACTTGCTTGCATTTTGTGCGGTAAAAAATTCAGTCCGGTTTTCGCTTTCAATCGGTCACAAAGTGTATGAACGTGAATCGTTCGTGCTGTTTATTTCTTTTTTCATTTCTCTTCACACCTCGTTTAAACAATAAAATATGGTACTTGAGCATTAGCGATATAGGAAAAAAGAAGTATGTATACATCGAACTTATCAAACACTTTCAGTTTCAGTTTTGCTCGAATACATGGACTCATGAGCATATTATAGTGAAATGTTCGGTATTTGCTCTGTGCCGGCAGTTGAAATTGATGAAACCGATATTTAAAATGAAGTAGCAGCAATATTTTCCGCCACCGCTCACATCAAAATCCGTTTTTTAGCGAATTATTTCGAAAATAGTTGCGTTTCACGCGATTTAATCGAAATCATTTGTTCCGTCTAAACATTGAATTCATTATATATTCTTTGTTTGTGCGCACGAATCGACAAACAATAATAACAATAAGATTTGCAAAAAAAAATCGATTTTATATGTTTAGGCGGTGCTTTCGAGTGTGGAACTTTGTTTGGAATCGTTCTTCCTCGCAGGGCTCACATTTTTTAATCTATCGGAACAACAACAACAGCAACAAAACACATTTTTGCATACTATATTTACACCCAAAGTCCATTCAAACGAAAAAAAAAAAACTTTAGCTCGTTTGCAAATTCAAATCGTATGGAATTTGTTTGGCCTTCATTGATTTTTTCGTTTGTCTTCATCATGTTCAATCAGACTTAGAACAGTAAATCTAACATATTTATGGTATGAACATGCAAAATCTTGTTGCAATCGATAATTAGGGCCAAGCTCAAGCGATAGATAGTTTATTTTCTGAAACTGTGCAATTTTTTGTTTTGCCACAAATAAACATTGCATTTTGGTTCCGTATCATACACTTTTTGTTACACGGATGTATTTCTTGATAGAAAAATCAAATGAATCAAACAATAATTAGAAAAGGAAAGATTTTTTTTATTTTCTAATCAAACCACAGAATTCAATTAAAAATGCAATAAACAATTTGATGAAAATTCATTTGATTTCTTTGCAGGTCTACTAGTGCAGTGAATTGAATTATTTATAAGAGTATATTGAACGAGGGCCTTTGAAATTGTCGTTACATTGAACGCAAAGAGTAGCAACAATTGATAAATCGAGCAGTTCGATAAAATAAACCAATCGAATAATTTCCGTTTCAAAATTAGAAAATTGGTGCTGCTGACCTTAAAAAATTGTTTGGGGCAGCTTAAAAGTATTTTTTTCTTTAAATAGTAAAAGAAAACATAAATAGCAATGGCTAAGCTATTCCTTATAATAATTTGTGTGTGCACTGCTTGTGTACAGCATTTGGCATGGGCACAAATGGCTAGAAAAGAATCAGGACCACAACATAAGTGGATTGAACCAGATTTGCCGCAAAACCATAGACATGACATTGTATCGAGGCAACAGGGTAGTGAAACAATGCAGCAATCAATCTATGTTGCTAGTAATTTAGAATATGATAATCCACCCAAACGATATGGTAGCGATGAGCTTCAAGGTGCTGTAGGAAATAAGGTAAACCATATTGAAACTAATAGTCGTGTGCAGCGAAAAAAACGACATGCCGCCCATACTCATTCACATGCTGAGAATCTCGTCGAAATGAATCCAAATACAGATGCATTTATCCAAAAATTATTTAAAAAATTCACAAACGGTGATGGTGATACAATGAATCTCATACAATTTGAAAATATGATGAAAACACTGAATTTGAGTGATCTTATGGACGATACACAATTGAGCCAGCACCAATCACACCATCACACAAAAGTTGAACACAGTGATAGCCATGAAAATCATGCGCATTCCAATGAAACGGTATGTAATCATTTTTTAATTTTTTTAAATTGAAAATATTTGTTGCTTTTGTTTCATTTTAATTCAATCTTGACTTGTCAATATGCTTGAGTATACATATTAAGAATTCGGCTCTTATTTTTTTTAAAAAACAATATCTCATTTGTTTCCCAAATTTCTGTGCAGTGCATATCAAGCGTATCTTTAGTCTCACACGTTCTTTCACCACAAAATGCCGGCAACGATGAAAGTATAAAAAACTACGAAAACCATATGAATAAAATCAGAGGCCAATCAGAATCATCAAACGAATTGAATAGTACAGACACAGTCGATACATCAATCGAGACAATTAAAACAATTAAAGAAAATATAAAATTAGGCAAAAATGATTTATGGTCACTGTGTCCAATTCTACTATATCAATTGACCGCGAGCAAATCAGAGCATTCGAGCGGATGTATTACGATGCCATTGTTGTCAGGCGACATGCACCATGATCATGATCATCATGACGAGCTGGAAGCCGATCGAAAAATGGGTAATAAAAATCACGTTAAAAATTAACTGCAAAATTAGACAATTGATAAACGACAAATGTAAATTTTTGTGTATGCGAATGTGGTAGCGATATTTTTTGTTGTTGGTTGCTACTTACATTACATTCTAATAATTTATGACACATACAATATTTTTGACGTGATGTGAATGCTAATATGCGTGTACCTCAATTAAACACATGCCAACAGACATACATTTAGAACTCATTCAAAATGCTTTGTTTGTCCCACTTGGTAATTGGTTCATCTTCACTGAATCACACACATGTTTTGAATATTGAAAGAAAAGAAAAAAAATATCGCACTTCATCTGGACATAATGTCAATAAATAATTTGTTCCTTATTAACATTTCAATTTCTGAATACAGTTTGGATCTATGCATCGTTGTCGATTATTGTGGCTAGTTTATGCGGTTTGATTGGTGTTGCTGTGATTCCCTGTATGGAAAAGCGTTTTTATCATCATATTTTGCAGTTTTTCGTTGCATTGGCCATTGGAACATTGGCTGGCGATGCCCTGTTACATTTAATGCCACACGCAATGATGACATTTGCATCACATGAAGACCAACACACAAGTATGACATATAAAGGTCTCGTTGCGTCACTTGGTATAATATTCTTTTTTGTAACGGAACGTATTTTGGCAATGGTCGCCGAATGGCGTAAACGTATTCAAAAGCGCGACGATCCACCAGCCCGAGTACGTGTTATGCGTGACCCCGATTCAATTTCAATGAATCAATCGTTGAATGGCGAAAAACAATGCAAACATAAATATTCAAGCTATCCATATTGTTATGATGAAATTGCACTTGACACCAAAGATAACATTCATCAACATCATCAACATGGCAGCAGTCATCATGGTATGACCAAAGAGAATGGATTAAAAGCATCGTCCACATCACCACCAAAGGAAAAACTATGCGCCAAATCGTTGAACGATCGAGCCAATGATTATTCGGACACCGCACAGAGTCTATTAAATTCACGAAATCACAATAATATTAATGTCGCCGATGCATACTATCGTACGAATGATAAAGATGACATTCAAACACCCGACAACAATACAATTCTAACAAATTTAGACGACGGATCACTTGATACATGCGGATGCGAACCGACCAAAAAAACCGAAAATTATACAATTATTTTGCGTGAACACGAATCAAAACATCATGGACATTCACATACGCACGGCCATGTACATTCACCACCGAAAACACTATCGGCCGTTGCTTGGATGGTTGTTATGGGTGATGGTTTACATGTAAGTATTTGTTTGTTGATGTCGTTATTATTGGAAACTCAATTTTTTCAAAATACAAAAGATAAAACACACACAAATTCCCGTTTTTTCGTGTAGAATTTTACCGACGGCATGGCAATTGGTGCGGCATTTTCAAACAGTATACCAGGCGGTTTTTCGACAGCCATTGCAGTCTTTTGCCATGAATTGCCTCATGAGCTCGGTGATTTTGCCGTTTTACTTAAAGCAGGAATGTCGGCACGAAAGGCAGCCTATTATAATATTTTATCGTCGGTGCTTAGTTTTTTCGGTATGGTTGTAGGCGTCATTATCGGTGATACACCAGAAGCGTCTTCATGGATATTCGCATGTGCAGCTGGAATGTTTATTTACATTGCACTTGTTGACATGGTATAGTCTAAATAATTATAATTATTACACATTCATTCATTCTTTGTTGTTGTTATTCGTTTTCAATTTTTAGATGCCCGAATTGACAACGGCTCATAATGAGCATTCAGCAATTGTTCAGTGCTTCCTTCAAGTTGCCGGAATGTTTCTTGGTGTATCAATTATGCTGCTAATTGCTCTATATGAAGATGATCTCAGAACGATATTTGATGAACACGAAAACCTGTCGCATCATCATTAAAAAGTAAAAAAAAAAATACACTGTCCACAATCTATGTACTAGATTATAGAACTATACAATTTATAATAAACATCGGTATTGTCAATGTTATAACATGTTGGCGTAGTTGACGAGAACAGCAACACATTGATAAGATTTTTTCTTTGCCACAACACGAGTGGCATATGTAATCGAAAATTCAAGGATGAATCATACGAAAATAAATGAACTACTATAAGAAAAAAAAATTCTATTTGCAAACATGTGTTTTTCTATTTGATCAGATTTATTTCATGTTTTGTTTTTCTCTGAAAGCTGGAGAAAAGGTGACAAACAAACACACGCAGAGATAGTAAGAGAGAGAAAATTGTCAATGGACAAGAATGAACAACAAAAATGCTCAATTTTTACTGGTCGTCCGTAAAGAGTTCGGTGACACAGAGAGAAACAGACACTTAAACTCACCGAACTGGATGACAAAGTTTACGATTCGTAGATAATAAATAACAAAATGTCGAGAGAACAATTGTACAGGTAATATGCATTTTGATACGAACAATCTGAAATAATACAGTATACAATTTTGTGGTTTCCGGCGGATGGCTTGCACGAAACGGTAAATTATCGTTAAATGATTTTCGCAAACAAACGATTCATATTCATTTCAATTTTCAAGTTCAAACACAATTTTTGCAACCATGTGGTCAATTATTTTGTAATCAACATTTTTATTTATTCAATTAATAGCACACGACTGATGTTTTATTCCTTTTCAAATTGGCAAATTCCTCTATAAAACACTACCTGTAATCAGTTGTTCCAGCCTCATATTGTCAAACTCAAAGACAGATTAGAAAATTGAAGTTTTGTGTATTTGAATGACCGCATTTATTTCTGTATCACAGTTGAATCGTTGATGAAGGAAAAAGCAAAGTCATTCAAAATGGATTTGAAAGATCTATGCGTATTTATCTTCATTTTATAGAAATATATAAAAATTGTCGTCTTGGAAGAACACTTGGAATAATTAAATTAAATACAAATGAAATGTAATGTTTTGACACGTGATCAGCAGAAATGGTATTTCTTTCACATTTTTATAAACAAAAAAATCATAACAAAATTTTAAATAAAACACACTCAATGATAAATAGTACAGTGATTTCCATTCAAACGGATACGCATATTAGAGTGGTTCGATTTTGACATATTTTCAAGAATCAAAAATCGTACCCCTATAACCTCTGTAGGAAGGTCATAGAAACATGACTATAACAACGAATTCGAAAAAAAAATGATTTTTGGTGATGCACGGTTCCAGGTGGTTTTTAAAAAAAATCATATTTTGATGAATTTTTAGCACTTTAAAAATTCAATAAAAAATGGTCCATCGGGGGTTTTTTGGCACGAGAAAGCCAAATCTGGCGTTAATTTCGCAATACAAATAATTTTCGACACTTTTTTCATGAAAAAATCACAAACAATTTGGAATTTTGTATTAAAGTTTGATGTTATTGCCTGTTTGATGTTGTAATGACATGAAACTTTGCACAGAATCTTTTTTCTGCAAAAAATAATATACCGAAAGTTTGAATAAATTTCAAGCGTTCAGGATCGCATACATTTATGCGATACATTGAATGATGCATGCATCATTTCATGCTAACGCTGTCGTTGTACGTGCGGATCTAGTAGCACACGACGGTCTTGCTTTATTGAACATTCACATCATTACGTGTATCATATAAGCACGTCGTGCGCTGTCAGGTCCGTACTCACAGCGACATCGTTAGCGTTGTGTTTGCGTTATTTGATTCGCATCAAACAATGTATCGCATAAATGTATGAAAAAACCACTTATTTCTATTAAACTGCTAACCGGCGATGTAATATTTTACTAAGTGTTTCTACATTTTCTACTAACCATTTTCTTTTTTAACTAACTGGTTTACATAATTCCCTAATTTTATTGATTACAGAATAGTGAAGCGCAGTTAGAATATGGCCTGCAATTATGGAATAAATTGAACAAAGAGACACAATTTTTCCAAAGTGGATCATTTTTGGGTTTGTTGGCCATAAATCTCGGTCAGCCAAAAACTGCGTTAGAGATTTTAGAATCCACAAAACAATCACATGTTACACCAGTGTTTATTCGACTCATTGCACTAGCCGATTGTGGCTATTTTGCAGAGGCAACAAAACTCATTGAAGAACGGAAAAAGAATTTTCCAAAATCCAAAATATACGCTAGCGTGGTGGGTATTTCCATAGGCACACATTCACTCGCTTCCATTCCATTCACTTTGGTTGATTTAAAATATTTGTCTTTAATTCATTCAGGTTGAAAAGATTGGAGAAATTTTAAAGAAGTACCCAACGACGGAAGAAAAAAGGAATTTTTCAAAATTATTGGATACCATTCCACTTCATGAACAGAAATATGTAATATTAGTGGAATTCTTTTGATTAAAAATATATTTAATTTTTTACATTTTATATACATTTTCAGAGTATCGATAAAATTATATGTTTTCCTATTGATCCAACCAGAGGGTTAACACCACAATATTGCTCTCCAAACTATATAGGTCCTAGATATAAAAAAAATCGTTGAACCACAATAGATTAAGAGACCATTAGAAAATAAAATAATAAAAAAAACATTCATATTTCATTTATTATTATGTAAAATTAAAGAAAACAGCACTAAAAATGTATTCAGTTTACAAAGTTTTATTCATGTTATGAAAAAAGTCATATAAAAATTTAATAATTTGAATTCCAATTTTTTTATATATATATATTTGACTCGCTTATCTAGAAGGCTGGGCAAAATTGGCCTAACACTAGTACTAAAATATTGTGTATAACAGTTGTAAAAAATCAATATATTTTAACAATGTAACAATACACGCTTATTTTGTTTTAAATAATACGCCCCGACACAAACAATTCAACAATATTGGTTAACTAATATCATGATGACCATTGGAAAATCTAATGACTAACGTAACGGAAGATTTAATTACATTTGACCAAGGTATTTAAGTTATTTTATGCCACTGAAGGCAAATACTACCTACTGTCTTTGCTTAATTAATGTGATGCAATTGATTCATTTCGACAAATTGACATTGTCATACATTTTCAACATTACAAAAATAATAATTTCAATAAAACAGGTAAACAAATTAAAAGAAAAAAATAATTGATTTTTTTTAACAATTATGATATCAAAAAAATTTGTTCCATGAATTTTGTTGTCATGTGTGTGTTGTCCGGAAAAAAGACCGGCTGTAATTAAATTTTCATGCCGGTGTCAAGATTTAGTGCTTGTTTGAGTACCTCGTATGTAGAAAATGAGACAGCGACCATCGGTATTGCACGCAAGTAATTAATTGACATTCCACGATACAGACCTCGTACAATACCATTTTCATTGTAAATGTGCGTGAGTGTCGTGACCATTCCAACTCTGAAACAAACATTTATTAATGTGATATCAAGCGAGGTTGACGTATATGAGATTGGGAACTTTTTTATGCGAACGCAGCTGATCAGCGCCATCTCACATTAGTTCGAATTAGATCGAAAAACTGAATTTAATTCTGTAGAATTGAAATGAAAAAGAGAAAAAACAACAACAATAGCACGGCCACACAGAGCTGTACATCTATGCGTGCTGATGCATACATACACATATACGCTTTCTTCATTCTTTCATTTCATTGTTATACGTATCTCACTGGTCAACAGATCTATGTAGCCATGTTACTGTTGTTGTTTTTTTCTCTTTTTCGATTCAATTCATTGTAACTAAATTGAGTTCAACTATGGAATACAAGATGGCACAGATGAGGGGAGTTCGCATTTTGTCTCTTCATAGGCTTAGCCGGTTGTGTGATATATTGAGTTTGTAGCCAAAAAACATAACATGATTATAATGCAATTATATTTTGTTGTAAATAAGCATGAAACTTCAGCATAAAGAAAATTGAAATGTTTTTTTGTAAATAACGTACCCAAATCGATCCGTTGCTGGATCCATCATAGCCAATTGCGTTTTTCTTCTCGTCACATCCAAGGGATACGAAAAGGATTGAGCTATTGCACCAGCTAAACCTCCTGCTAAAAGTTTGGCAGGAATATTTAAAACTAGGCCACCTGAAAATTTAAATTTGAAAAATTAATTTCCGATTAAAACATTTGGTCTGGATATGTTAATATTTTTTTTTCTTTTTCTTCGCCCACCTGTATTTTTATCGCATTTGTTGCAAGTCCATTGTGGTGGAAAGGAATTTCACACTTTCAAAGCAATAAAAACTGAAACCGGCATATGGAACCACAGCAATGAAACGACAACAACGATAACATATACTTTTACTGTCAAAATTTTGATGTCAAATGGTGTCGACATTGGTGACGGTATTTTGAAACAGACTGTGTAATCCATATTCATCGTATATGATCCTATGTAAAGTTCTATACTTGTTACCCATCATCGTTCTGGCGCTTTGTCAACACGAAGAAAAATAGTGACTGCGATCCGAAATTGCTACATTTTGGGGATAAATCATCGGTTGATAGAATGGAGCAAGCTGAAATGTTTGCAACATTTTTCAAAAACAATTTCGCCAAGCAACCGTCTCAAATTCAATTGACAGCCCACATTCCTACTCAACCAAACTCAACCGTGGATCAATTCAAACTCAATGAATTTTCCGTTTTCGACAATCTGTTGCAAATTAATACGAAGAAAAAGGGGGGGTGTGTCGGGCCAATTTTCAAAAAGGGATCGAGATCAAACGTCGAAAACTATCGCTGCATAGCCAAATTGCCAACGATCGCCAAATTTTTTGAATATTTAATCAACTTGGAGCTTAGTAAAATTGTCGCCGATAAAATTGTTCCACAACAACACGGTTTTATGAAAGGTCGCTCAACTGCATCGAATTTGTTGGAATTTTCGCATTACTCCATCAAAGCACTAAACGATGATAAGCAGATTGAAGTACTTTACACCGACTTCAGCAAAGCATTCGACATAGTTGATCATTCAACTCTTGTCTCAAAATTACATAATTTCAATCTGCCACCAAATTTAATCGAATGGATCAAGTCGTATTTGTCAAATCGTCGTCAATTCGTAAAATATGGACAGATGGAATCAACTGAGTATGTAGTAAACTCTGGAGTGCCACAAGGAAGCCACTTGGGCCCCACGCTATTTCTACTTTTTATTAACGACATTGTTAGTGCCATCAAAGACGATGACATTTTCATTTCTCTGTTTGCTGACGACTTGAAATTAGCAACATCAATTACAAACACGAACGAGGCCTTTAAACTCCAATCATCGATCGACAAATTAAAACTTTGGTGCGTAACAAACAAACTGCATCTAAATCTGGATAAATGCTCTGTTATGTCGATATCGAAAAAGAGAGATCAAATCATAAACACTTACCATTATGGCAGTCACACCTTCAAGAGAGTAAGTGAACAACGAGACTTGGGGGTCATCTTCGACAACAAACTTAACTTCGTCAAACATATCGATTCAATCGTGGCCAAAGCGACATCAGCACTTGGATTTGTGAAACGATTCTGCTACGATATTCCTGATGTCCATACTCTAAAGTCTCTTTACTGTGCTCTTGTTCAATCGATCTTAGAATATGGCAGTTTAGTATGGCTTCCATATCATGGCATACACAAAAACAAAATTGAATCGTGCTTGCGTCAATTTACAATGTTTGCACTCAAAGAATATCCAAACATTTCAAATGACTTCAAAATTTCTTCGTACAGCACTCGTCTGAAGAAACTCAATATGCAGTCACTTCAAAGGCGCCGTATAAATGCATCAATATTATTTATATTCGACTTGCTGCATAATAACATTCACTGCCCATCACTGAAAACAGAAATCTCTCGCAATCAAAACGAACGGAACTTGAGAAGTGTCGAGTATATCAAAATAAACGACAAACTATTACGTATCAATCCATCTGTACCACTCAATCAAATGTGCAAAATGTCAAATAAAGTCCACGAACTATTCAATACGCAACCAAAGAGATCAACATTCAAAAATCGACTTCTAGCTTTAAGCGATGATCATTTTTCTAACTTTTCATTGGTGTCTAATCATAATACTGTATTCATGAATGATCTAATGTGATCCAATGTGATATTTTTCATAGTTATTTAGTTTTTTGACTCATTGTATCCAGTGCAATTTGAAAGTATCTTACTCATATCTGTTTATTTATTTATTTTCTTCATTACAAAACTGAAAAATTGTTTTATACTCTATTACTTAAAAGATGTGGTTTTTAACGGAGATCAGATGGCATCCATCATGATCATACCTTTTTCCCACCAATACATGTAAAAAAATTATGTATAAACACAAACTATGGTTCAGCCAGTTTTGGCGGTGAATAAACATTATTATTGATCTAGTTCACATTGACGGTTCAAATCGGTTATGTCCAATAGCGTGGACATGGACTGTGTGTTTCTTCTGTTACATGTACGTTTTAATGGACAAGTATACTAACATGGCGTCGTTCAAATAAATTTAAAAAACCGTCCACTCGTGTCGACACCATCTAGCACGGTAGTAGGGATTTCATTGCTGTGTATGGAACCATACCGGTTAGAGTTGGATCAAAACCACGATACAATCCACGAGTACCACCTTCCTGCAAAGTAATACAAATGAAGAAAAATATCATTAGCGTGATTTTTTATAACTGAAAGAGCTGTGTGTACGATGCCTGCATGTTTATGAACCATTTGAGCGCTATTGCCTTGGTAAAGTGTCCATAATGATTCTCTGCGAACGATATGTCGAAGGCCACTGAACACACCCAAGTGTGTATAGTGATTTGAATGCGCCTTCAGCAAAATTTTTATTCGATCTTATGGTGCTACTGCAGTCTTTGAACACATACCAGCTACACCTGTTGAATTAAAGCATAAAAATATTCAATGAATACAATGCGCGATTTTTTTTCATTCATTATTCAATTGTATGATAGGTAGCACTTGTTATGCTTTATTGGTGATTATTGGTTTAAGTCAAATGACTTTGAGCAATCATGTGCTCATCTTCGTTCAATGAATCGAAATATATTTATGTGAAAATGCAAAACTCAAATACAGATCCGAATATTATTGAAAAAATGAAAGCAAACCATGTAAGCATTACTTGTGTACTCGTCATCGATACTTTAAGGTTATTTATCTCTGCATTACAATAAAAAGATTTTAAAATATCATTCATCTTTATTTCTGGCTTCGGACAAGCCATGAATAAAACACACGAAATCTCAATTCACTCCATTTCAAATAAAGCATTGCATAAAATTTCCATCAATATTTTGTTTACAACTTCAAGTTTCTTTAATAATGTATCTTGATACAGTCGAATTTTACATCAGAATAAGAAGCCATATTACCATTTGTCCAGAAGATGAACTTTCGAATTAATCTTTCATCATCTTTTATCTTGCATAATCATTTGCATAAATCATATACATCAATAAATATATTTCTTTTCTTCATAGAAATGATGAAATTCGCTGAATTTCTCTATTTTCAAAGTAGTCTTATTACATTTTTAATTATATCATTCGATGGAGATTATTTCATTGATTGAAAATATATATTTTCATTTCTCGTTTAACGAAAAATGTTTAGTAAGTATAGTCTGTTTTGCTTTTTTTTTATTTCTTGCACTCTCATTATTAAATACAAGTAACTATTTACTATGAGGTTTTATATTTGAATAGGGTCCAAATAAAAAAAATCGGTGTCATTCTTAATCAATACGCATATTATAGAAAAGAGACTCTTAAATCAGTATTACAAATGATTCCCAATTAAAAAGACTTTTATTTATTTTTTTCGGTTTTTTTTTTCTTTTCATTTCTTTCATTCTTTCATGTTTTTTTCAGTTCATTCAATGGTCGATTTTTATAATAGTGGGAAGAAACAACACAAAATAATATTAATAACAAAAGTGAACGACACAACACAATTTCTAACTTAAAATTACTCAATTATTAAATGGTTCAAAATTATTTGCTTGCGTTTGCTTTTTTTTTTAATGGAAAGGAATGTTTTACTGAATATATTTTTTTCTTTGCTCAATCTTTAATATTTTTCCCCTCCAAATAAAATGATAGTTCGCACAATTTTGTTATAAAAAAATAATGTTGAACCACATTTTCGTTGGTGTGAATGTCACATTGAATCAAAAATAAATCGTAATTTTTCAGTATGTATTACTCAAAATGAATGAATGAAAGGCAATTGACGATGTTACAAAAAATTCTCTTTCTCTAAATGCATTTCAATTTAAATGCGTCGGTCATCAATAATGCTCACTTTTCTTTGCCCTTTTGTATTATTCTCTTTTTTTTTTTGAAAAAAAAATGTATAAAGTTTTTTTCCTATTGATCAGATGATTTTGAATCTAAATTTAATAAAATTTCTTAGCTTGTGCGTTGCGATTTTCTCTGTAAAATTAAAGAAATGAACTCAATGAATAAAATGTTGTTTGAAATGTGTGTAAAATAAAATGTCAATCAACATACTTGTACAGTGAATAAGCCAACATAATGCCCAGTTGAATGGCCGTTGCTACTAAGAATGATGTTAAACTTAAGCAGGTCACATTTGGACATGACGTTTGAGCTTGTGGTGATGAAACCCTATAAATAATTTTTTTTTCAAGCGAGAATCATTTTAGAATAAATTTGCGATGAAAGAAAAAAGAAATATATGAACGTACTTTGCATGAACATTGGTGATGCCTTGTTTGATTTGATTCAAACCGTCTCTCATTTCGCCAATCATTGATTGAACATCGTAGCCGGCTTGTTGAACACTACCGCTTGGTTGACGTGCTTGATTTTGAAGAATATTATCGGAACGTGCTTGTAAATCGTTCAATGAATTCTTCATTTCACGTAATGTGGCAATGAATTGATTTTGATTTGTAATGAGCGCTTCAACTTCGTGCCGTCGAATTGTATCCGCATATCCTTGTTGTGGTGGCTGTTGTTGTTGTTGCTGTTGATATTGAATTTGTCCTGGTTGTTGTTGCTGTTGTTGTGCATTAATCGATAATAATCCCATTGTTCGCTCTTGACGTCCAATCATTTCATCCATTTTACGTCCCAAATCTTTAATTTCATTGGTGATATGACTTTGTGATTGCCACAATTGACGCCATTCACGTTGATTATCAGTCTCAAACCAATCATCAAATTCATCAGGTTTCTTATGATCTGGATGCTCTTTACGATATTCTTCTTTTTGCAATTCCAATTTTCGTTGATAGTCTTGATATTCCTGAGTAAGTTTGGCCGCTTCATCGGGAAGTTTATGAACTTCACCCATATCACCGGGTTGATGAAGTGAAGTGGTTAAGAAGTGGAAGGCATCGTGATCATCAGCCAATCCGCCGGTTGCCGCCGAAATACCAAAGTATCCATGCTGTGGCAATGTTACATGTTCAGCACGTAAACAAAGTTCATATTCATCTTGATTATTTGACATGCCATTGTGGAACATAACGGTTAATGTATTCATGTAGTATTCGATTTTGGCACGCGTTGGAAATGGCTTATTACGGAAATCACGCAAACAACCCGATAACAATTGTGTGGTTCCATCGCTAATTGGGAAGGAGAAGGAAAATCAGCATTTGCTTTTTTATTTAATGAAATGTCATTCACTTACTTTTGATGATCAAATTGTTTGGTGCCGTCATTCAATACAGCCATAATGTATGGATTATTGTGTTTGTTATCGTTATCGAATGAATCGAAGAACACACCGAGACCGGTCCACTTATCAGATGAACCAAACACATCGCCATTGTAATCTCCCTTTTCCGTTGTGTACCAAATTGCCTAAATACCGAAACGAACGAGACGAAATTTGTTACAGTAACCCAGTTTCATTTTTCTTTTTAGTTCAATCATCTGTCAAAGTCGCAATGCTGATAGCATTGAATGTTACTTATATCGAGCATAAAATGAACATTTTCCTACCAAACCGTCAGCACCAATTCGACCACGTCCCGATATTCTAAACGCTATTTCAATTTCCCACCAATCGAAATCCGTTTGTTTTTTGGTCCATATTGCACCCTTTTGACTTTTTAACGATGGCGCTATTCTTACACTATCCGAACTGGCAATACAATCTAGAATGAATCATTCGAAACAGAAAACAAATAACAAACTCATCAAAAAAAAAATCAAAATAAATGCGATATATTTACTGGTAGCTGCAACCAAAAAAGCGACGGTTAATGTGCAAAGAGCGATAGGTGTTAAGAAAACAAGCAAAAAAAAAAAAACAATTCGCTACTTCCAACGTGTCACATACATTTGTATCAGAGGAACATGACATTGTGTCTTAATTTTAACGTCATACATTTTCTGGTTCGCCACAAACAAAACGTAATAATATTAATTGAACTTTCACTATCGTATCAAAAAAGGTTTTTTGTCGTGTGTCGTTTCAGTTTTTTTTCTTGCTTTCGGAATGTTGCGAAATTGATTGAACACATGCCTCTGATAGTGTATATGTATATATGTACACACATAAAAACATTAACTGACGTGTCGAAAGCCAGCGAAAGATTTAATTTTTTTAAAAGAAAACCTGATACTGTTTCTTGTATTTACAATGCTAGTTAATTAGTACTTACTGCCACCGTACTCCCAAAATGGAACGGTTCCATCTTTTTGCGCTAAATACGGCGGTTTAAACGAATATTTATATTCAAATCGTCTGTGCTGTCCCAGGCTATCACCACTTAATGATTTTATTAAAAAAATTGAAATAAATAGCACATACAAAAATCTTAAGGAAATACTACACGTCAAACCGGTGGCAGCCATTGTGAAGTTATGACAACTCAATAGCTCAGACGCGACAGAAGAACTGCTGTTGTATGGTAATGCTAGTGCCTGATGTAAACTTCGCTTACGTTGCGAACTCTCTTTCTCTCTCTCTCTATCGTTTCGTTTCGCTCGCACTCTTTGCGCACTTGCACAGACTATATCACTATGTTTCGAAGATTGAACAACAGACAACTAAATGTCATTTCACATTTCACTTTGGACTCTAAAGTGTGTACGTGTGTTTTGACGTTGCCATTTGGGAACGACATTTGAAAACTGTCGCGACACAATAGTTGTGTACTATTTCTAAAACAGCTGTTTTTTCTTTTTTTTTTAAATATTTTTAACGCAGTGATTATTTCATTGTTAATGTTTTTATTTTCGTATTTTCGTATTTTATCAAACAACAAAAAATATGATTTTTTTCTATATTCTATGTTGTTTTCATCTTTTTAAGAGTTTCATGTATGTTTCATATGGAACTTTAACCGTTCCAATGGCTCGCATTTTCCGTTTACCTTCGGCCTGTGCTCGTACCAATTTCATTCGGCGTGTCACATCACCTCCATACAATTTGGCCGACACATCTTTTCGATAGGCTTTAATTGTTTCACGTGCCAGTACTTTATGATTAACAATTGCTTGAATGGCAACTTGAATCATTTGCTTTGGAATTAATTCCTTCAATTTTTCAACCATTTGTCGCGCAGCGGCATTTGCCTTGGATATATGCACGATACGACTGAATTCATCAACTGGCCGTTGATTTAAATGAATGCATAATTTTACCAATTTTGTTGATTGATAGCCTTTGTCTTCGTAGTCAAAACTGGCATATCCACTGGTAATTGATTTCAGTTGATCATGAAAATCGATAACAATTTCACTAAGTGGCATTAAATAGGTCATAATTGAACGATTATCATCAATATCGATGCATTCTTTGCGTATGCCACGTCGATCCATGCACAATGCAATTATATCAGGTATAAATTCTTTTGGTGTAATTATCGTACCGAGCACGCATGGTTCAAAATATTCAGCTATATCGAGTGCATCGGGGAACATGACGGGATTGCTGACATACATAATGTCAGAACCATGTTCTTTAATCAGTTTTGGATGGGACAATCTCAATTTGTACGTTACCGATGGTGATGTGATTGTTGCATTTATTTTATATTCTTGTGTTAAACGTTGACAAAATACTTCCATGTGCAAAAGACCAAGAAAACCAAGACGCCATCCTTGTCCTAAGGCCGGACTAGAATCTGGCTCAATTGTAACAGCTGAATCGTTGAGAATTAATTTATCGAGAGCATTTCGTAAATCAACATGTTCGGATTGATTTTCTGGAAAAATGCCTGCAAACACCATTGCACGATTGGCCCGCAAACCAGGCAATTGTTCAACTGTTGTTCCCTTTAAAAATATTGTATCACCGATGACAGCATCTTTGCTACTTTTCATCGCGCATCCAACCAATCCCACTTGACCGGCATTCAGTTTTTTAACGGCATGCTCATGCGGTCTTAAGATCGACAGTTGTTTAATTATATAACTTTTTTCACTTGTAAATGTTTTAATCTCATCGCCAACATTGACCGAACCATCTTTCACGTAAATCAAATTCAATGCGCCACGATGACGATCAAACCAACTGTCGAATAAAAGTGCACGAAAAAGACTATCTCGATTGACTTTTGGGGCTGGAATTCTAGTCACAATTGCATCCAATAATTGTTTAACACCAGTTCCCATTTTCGCAGATACTCTCATTACGGATTCCGGATCAATATCAAATAAATGGCTTAATTTTTGAAGAAAAGAAATACAACGAATTAGAGACTGATTAGTCAACGAAACATAAAGTCGTTAAACATTTTTACCTTAATTCAATACAAACTCGATCTGGGTCGGCATTTTTCAAATCAATTTTATTTAAAACTGGCACCACAACCAATCCTTTATCAACCGCCAAATGGTAATTGGCTACAGTTTGCGCTTGAACACCTTGGTTTGCATCAACAAGCAATATGACACCTTCACAAGCTGACAATGAACGCGTTACTTCATTTGAAAAATCAACATGTCCAGGTGTATCAATAAAATTCAGCAAATATGTATGACCATCGTCGAATTGATAGAGCAGTGAAGCAGATTGGGCTTTGACCGTAATTCCACGTTCTTTTTCAACTTGTAAACTATCCAAAATTTGCGCTTCACCCTGATTTGGTGCTATGGCGCCAGTCATTTCCAATAAACGATCCGATAATGTTGATTTACCGTGATCAACATGGGCTATTATGCTAAAGTTTCGAATTCGGTCTACCGAAACCTCATCAAATTTAAAATTGCTATCATCAACAATGGTAATTTCATTTTTATTTGTGCAATAAAAACGTTGCCGAAGATATGACGTCGACTTAACATAATTGCCAATAAAACGAGTGCACAGCCGATATTTGGTAATCATCTTTTTCAATGGTTTGTTCCGATAATTCAGTATGAACAACGACTAATTTGGCGTTTTTTTTTAGGTTATGGTTATGGCTCATATTCAAATCAATTGTCTTTATTGTGTATCACACATTGTCTCATTCATCAAAGCGTTTTTAATAATCAATTTTTTTTTAACTTATTGTCGATAGAATCTGGTCGAATTTTATTGTTTAGCTTCGAAAAGTTTAAACATTAAATAATAATTATCTATGTTATATGTAGTTACTGCAACCCGAACTTTGACAGTAATAATAGTGGTATTTTGACATTTATTTTTCATTCTAAAATTCGTTCATTCATTTGTATGGAGTTCATTTTGACGTTTTTAACCATAAACATTCGACATACACTGACACATTCGGATTTGCTAGTTGAATACAACGAGGCAGAAAATTTATTATTTTATCCATTCGACTGAACCGTATATTCATTTATTCGGTTTTCTTAAATTGTTTTCCATTTAGAAATAAAATAGTAAAATAGTGAATATCAGAGATGGATTCGGATATTGATACATTGGAGCCAAGTTTAAAGAATATCATCGATCAAACATCTTTAAAATGGGTATTTGTCGGTGAGTACATTGAAGTGCATCGTAAATTTGAAAGTGTTAAAATGAATTTGAATTTACAGGCGGTAAAGGTGGCGTAGGGAAGACAACTTGCAGGTAATTTATGCATAAAAACTATAAAAGTATATGTATCAATTTCTGATATTCTAAATTGATTAATAATATATGTGTGCCCTAAAATAGTTGTAGTTTGGCTGTCCAATTGGCCAAAGTACGAGAATCTGTTTTGATTATGTCAACCGATCCAGCGCATAATATTTCAGATGCATTTGATCAAAAATTTTCAAAAGTTCCAAGAAAGGTATATTTAAATGTGAATCTCATGAATCAACATAATTGAATATAATTTATTTGGAACAGGTCAATGGTTTTGATAATTTGTACGCAATGGAAATTGATCCGAATGTCGGTTTAAATGAACTGCCTCCCGAGTATTTCGAAGGCGAAGCAGATGTTCTTAAAGTCGGAAAAGGTGTTTTGAGTGAATTGATGAGTGCTATTCCAGGCATTGATGAGGTATTTTTATATATTTTTTTTTTAAACTTTTCAATGAGATTTTTATCCATCGTTCATCGAGTAACAGTGTGCAATTGATTGTTTTGTTTTTGTTCTCAGGCTATGAGCTATGCTGAAGTTATGAAGTATGACGATTTTAATTCAATTTTAAGTGTTACAAATTTATTGATTTTGTTTCTTCTCTCATTATTTTTACTTTAGATTGATTAAATCCATGAATTTCTCGATCGTTGTCTTCGATACGGCACCAACTGGGCACACATTGCGTCTGTTGTCATTTCCACAAGTGGTGGAAAAAGGCTTAGGTCGTCTATTGCGATTGAAACAACAAATTGCACCGTTGCTATCACAAGTTGGTAGTTTGTTTGGTTCTCAAGACTTTAATGCAGAATCATTGAGCCAGAAATTGGACGAAATGTTGGCCACCATACGACAAGTGAACGAACAATTCCGTAATCCGCAGCAAACAACATTCGTTTGTGTGTGCATAGCCGAATTTTTGTCACTATATGAAACGGAACGTTTGGTACAAGAGTTAACCCATTGTGGCATCGATACGCACAACATCATTGTCAATCAATTGCTTATTAAATCGGAAAAAGAGGAACCGTGCCATATGTGCAAGGCCCGATACAAAGTTCAATCAAAGTATTTAGACGAAATTGCCGATTTATATGAGGACTTCCATGTTATTAAATTGCCATTGCAGGAGAAGGAAGTGCGTGGCGTCGATGCAGTCAAAGCATTTTCCGAAAATTTAATCGTTCCATATGTTCCAAAATAAATTTTCGTCTAAATGTTTAAATATCAGCGTATATCTTTTTTTCTTTGTCGCTAATCTTTACGCTTTGGTCTTTTTTTACACACATAAGAAAATATCGATGTCAACATTTTGATTTGGAAATAAATTGAGAAAAAATCGAAATAAATTATAAATGGTGGAAACGGATAAGATTGTTGTTGTTTTTTATTCCGTAAACTCTTTGAATTAAATATATTTTTTTAAATCCGGAAATGAAATCAATTTTTACGAAATTAAAATGGTTATTTACATTCATTTAGTATAATTTAAGGCGCCATTTTAAAGTTCAGAATTCGTGTTGGCCTTTGTGTTATGCTGTCCGATATTCATGCATCAGTGATTTAGACAATTAAACTAAAAAAGATGTTATGTATTATGCATTTGAGTCATAAAAATGTCAATCGACATGCCGTAACAGCATTAATCCATTTGAAAATAATTCAACTACCAAATACTGATTAAATGTGCATAGCTTATGAAAGGCTTATAATTTCACTTGATGAGAAGAGTGGCAAAATAAGAAAGTAAAAGTTGGTTTAATTTTCATAACGATAGGTTTCATCGATTGATCGTCTATGATTATTTTCCCAAGACAAAAGATGTTCGAAAATCGAATGCTCAACAAATATAATCTGTGTACTCTTGTGGAACCGAAAATGAAAAACATCAGCGCGCATAAATGAATTCAATGTTCGTTGAATTTAAAATAACGTCTTCAACGTAAAAATTCCCACACTATAAACCGATATTACGATGACGACAACATCAATGTTTACGAATGTTTAATTTAAAGATCACTCCAGATTCCAGTGCTGTAAGATTTGATACGAGTTAAGTCTCTCTCTCTCTCTCTCTCTCTCTCTCTCTCTCTCTCTCTCTTTGTGTGCATCAGATGATGTTAATTGTTAGTGGCGCCCAAAGGCTTTTTATTGATCGACTCTATCATTTGTTGTATTTATTTGCTGGCCGAGAAATAGTTTTGGCACGTTTTCACGTTGAATGATCTTTTAGTGCGGAATCCACGCTCAAATAATGGAGCTAAACATTGAAAAGGTGAATCAAATTTATATCGTCACATTGCAGATTGAATGGGATGCGAGCAAAAGCGAAGCATATATGACAGACAAACCGAAGTCAAGAAGAAAAACAGAAGAGAAACAGAAAAATTGAAAATCATAAATCGAACGATCTTGTTGTTACTTTTTTATTTTGTGTTTGATTTCCAAAGCCTTCAACCGTATAATTTGTTGACCATTTGTAGTCGTTGTTTGCTCAGATCTGTGAAGCATCCAACAACGGCTGTGTAATATACAATTGGAGCACCGACCATGATACTCTCGAATTCAACATATGCACCTCTGCCTGTGCGTACTTTCGATTATTTTCAATGAAAATGCGGCATTGTTGCTAATTTGTTTACATTTCTTTTTCGGAATCTTCAATCAGATTATATAACAAAACAATGCACAATCATTGGACATACAATTAATATAGCAGCCAGAAGCAACGATGATGGTAATATCAAACGATGATGGTAATGACGATGACAACCATCGATAAATAGCTAAGGAAATGACTCGATCTTACAATGAAGAATGATTCAGCAAAATGCAAAACCATTGCACGTGATTGTTTACAAGATATGTGGAAAATTCAATTGTGGAAAAAAAACAATGCTCACTGTGGTTCGGTACGTGGCTCAGTGAAATAACTCCCTGGATGCACAGTCAGACCAATTTTTTTGGCGGAAGGCAATGAGCGACCAGCGGAAGATACGAGTGCGCAATCGTTTGATCTAGATCGTTTATCTCCCTTTCCCAATCTTACTGACCATTCCACTGATATTTTACTATATTTTCTATATAGAGCTTGCGATTATGTATTTATTAGCAAAACATGAAAAAACTATCTATCAACGCATTTTAGTCACAAAATTGATATCAGAAATGTTGTGCTTCGAATTTGGGATTCGTCACTCGTTTTTCTTCACCTCAACAGAAACTTTTCTCTATAAAACGTGAAAATGCGTTACGACAAAGAAATAAAACGTAATATCAAAACTTTTGACACCGACAGCGATGTATGTCATTTTATTAGATCATCAAACCATTTGGCTCGAGTATTATTTAAACATAATCTTTTTATTTTGAGAAATAAACGTCATTTTGTTATTCATCATCTTCTGTTTTGCTCGAATTAAAAATTACCGCCGTGCATCATACGGAACTCATTTTATTGCATCTCTTTCAAGATCTCTTTCAACTGAAGAAATCGCAGCACAAGAAGAATTAAAAAAAAAAAAACTAATAATAAAAGAGTTAAAATATCAAATGAAACTAATTCAACTATGTGCGACCGAGGGAATCGTGTTAATAATAATATTAATAAAATGGTTTTATTCATTTTTGCAGCAAATTGTGTGCAAAGAAAATCTCAATGAGTGTAAAGTGCGAATGTCGACAGTATTTCATGCCACCAACTTTAATTAAATTATGAAGCACGTTTGCTTTCGTTGGTGCTCATATGTGTGTGCGCGTGTCTGTATCAGTTTGATCTCGGCTTGTTGCCACTACCGAAACTTTGTTTATGTGAAACAAACATAAAAAAATAGAAGTGAACTCTCTCTGGTGCAACATACAAATGCGTGTGTAGTTTTTTACTCATACAATTCTTGTCGATTACCTGCTTTTAGCACCAAATAAACAATAGCAATGTAGTTTGGTAGCTGCAATTTGTAAATTATCCATCGATGGTTGAGCTTCTGAATTGAGATCAACGCTTCAATATACCTGAATATAGTTGAATCGACAGCAGTGGCAACTAAATCACAACACGATGGCCGTTATATTGGTACATTGTACAAACAGACATACAGCAAATATAAATTAAATGCAAGTGGTAATTAGTCATTTGTTTCATTTTTTTACACTCAACGAATATGCGCAGATTTACTCATTTTTTTTTTTCTTTTAATAAATTCGTTGCTAATAAATGTTTCTCATATTTGAAAAAGCCAAAAACTGATGCAATCGCATGAAATTTCTGAATTTCTAGATGGATTTATTATTTTTTGTACTTTAAGAATGCATACAGAATCTCTCACCTCAAAAAATTCAAACACCCGATTGCTTCAATCACATACTGATGAAATCATAATTTTAATTTCAAAACAAACCGTGAATATGCACATAATTAAAAGGATGCCACAAAATACGAAAACGAAAATTGAACTTAAATGAAAGGCAATAAATTATGTTATGTGTACATGTTTCCGGTAATATTCATTTATAAAATCCAAGCAAAAAAAAGTTAAAAGCAAATTCAATATCTCTCTTTCTGCCACTTTTGAAGATTTCCCAATTTTTAATTGTTTGTGTATGTGTGTGGGCATAAAAACAATGAAAATTCGACAATTGATTAACATGTGCCTGTTTCCTTCGTTTATATTTCGCGTAAAGTTGACGCTATGATAGCCGGCAATTTTCCAATGATTTACGAGCTTGGCCACTTATCTATAATTGAAATTTGTGTGTTTTACATTTAAGAATATTTTTTTTCAATTACACATCTCATTCATATGTGCAAAAAAATTGTTCAAATTGAAATTGGCTTCAATAACACCTTCGGTCCGATCCGATTCGTCATTGATATTGCGGTATTTCACACCGCCAAATAAAATCATCATCAACGATCGACTACATTCCGATGAAAATGAAACAAAAAATAACAAACTTGAAGGAAAAAGTCGTGATAAATAAACAATGGATGTAAATTACGATCAAAGTTAGAAAAAACGATCGTATTGCCTTCTTTCAAAAATCATATATTTATGAACTTATGCAATGCAAAACGGTCTGGATTTGATCTTGTTCACACTCTTAAAATACAATCGATGTGTGACGACGACGACGACGACGACGACGACGGAGCTGTTTTCATTCCGATTGCCAATGTTTTGTGCTGTCTTTCCCAATCACATTTGCACACAAATCATCACCGAAATCCAACTTGAATTAGATAGACTCGAGATGCACATAATAATTACATCATTTTAATTGTTCTGTTAATTTTGAGGTCATTGTAATTGTTTAATCGTACAGAATATGCCAGACACGCGAAAAATCTATGTCTATATCTCGTCGATTTGATCGAAAGAAGGAAACCAATTAGACGGTGATTTGTGTGTGTGTGTATGGTGAACAAGAGATTACAATGGGCATAAAAAGAAAAGAAAGAATTGTCAGTGCCCAAACATAGGGCCCGAAAATTGAACCGTACAAAATGGCGAAAAAGAATTGTGAAATTGAGCAATGAGTTTCATTTCATTTTTGATGGTGATTCTCCATTATAAAAACCGTTTCCAATTGAATAACAATTTTGTTTTTAATTAACCGATTTTTTACCGATAAAATCTAAGAGCCAAATGTGCATCTTCAAGTCGTTCCGGCTATTTACCCTCTTTCACTCATTTTGTTTGGTATGTTATAATTTGGAGTCATATGCAATTGTTTCCCGTATGATGGGCTGGATGATTTACTTTATCTTTGATCATTTTTCTTTGCGTTGAACAATCTAAAAGTGTCGACATATAAGGGCCAATTGGTTAACCTTCGCACAATTGACGGTCTCATTTTCATATTTCTTTTTCGATTAATATGAATTTTAAGAAGATCAAACGGCAGCAAGTTTTTTTTCCCTGTTCAAATGTTGGACTTTGATTAAATGTCATCTTCAATCATCGGATGATTGATCCATGTCGCTTGTAGCGAATAGAATGTCATAATTGCATCACTACCCGAAAAAACCCTAACGAAACCATACTGATCTTAAGATTTATGTATTTGCACAGTATGATTTAAATGTCATGAGTAACCCAATTACGCGACGGAAGTCAAAAAATTGGCCAAATTCTTAACGCCAAACAAACAAATAAAACAAACAGAAAATTATTATTTATGAATGCATATATGAAAAATTACCATTTTAAATGAGTCATAAGCCATAAATAATAAGCATTTTGCACATATTTTGCGAACACATTTTATTGTTCTCGCCTTAGCTGCCTATGACGAAAATGCATATTTCGAGTTAATGTAAAATATAATAATAATTCGCTTATAATGGAAACTATAGTGATTAGTAGCAGCAGCCAGCAGAAATGAACAGCCCAGAACATGATTTCTAATTAAATCATAAAGCATACACAATTTACACAATACACCGACCCAAAGCATTGCTCCATAAAAAAAACCTGGTTGTGGTAATTCAGCCAATTTGCATCGAGTGTGATTCATGTTCTGACACATAGGTAAGTGCAAATTGCAAATGTCCATCCTGTTATATCATCACAATGTGTGACAAGTGAGAGGCATCTTGCATTGGCCACGATCCATTCCATCATCAGTTTAATTTCTTCTTTTTTTCCGTTGACTTTTTCAGTTTCAACTGTCTGTGCTCATTCAGCGTATCAATTGAACTTTCAACTGGCGTGTTGTTTCAATGGGCTCACAACAAACGATCGTTCATAGTGTCTGACTGTGTTTGAAATTTCGCACCTATCTTCGAACTACGAACTCTCAAGCAACCCATGTAGCGCACGTTCAGTGTTACAATTCGTTTGTCAGTGACGACGGCATCGACAACAGAAACCGTCTCTCTCGTGGGGATCACTATATAAATGAAACAATTGTCAGATTATTCATCTCATTTGAAAAACACATCAACTCAAAAGCACAACGAAAAACAATTCAAATCATTGGGTGTTCGGAACGGTTGATCGTTTTGAAAATAAAATCCGTTACAAACGCATATCCAGTTTTATGCTATTTATTTAATAAACATCAAAAAATTATAGTTTTTATTAATTTAAACAAATTTGTGTATTTTTATTCGCTGTATTTTGATCGTTCAATTTATGTGTTAGAAATTTGCGTTTGACACAGAAATTAAAAGTCGTAATCAAAACAAAAAATGATCTAATCGAAAAAGAACAAAAAAATCATTACGAGAATCGCACATTTTGTGAATAACAAAACAGTTTTCATCTAACGAATTTCAAAGTATTATTAATTTTTTCGACGGCATTAAACCTAACTATGTTCTCATCATAAGATTTTTTTATTGACGAATTTTTTTCAAAAAAAAGTCGCAGTTTTGTGCAGCAAAAATTGGTTTTGTGACGAAATTCATGCCTTTCCATTGCATTAAAGAAAATAATTTATCTCAAAATTACCAAGTTCAACTCAAAATTGACAGTTTTCTTTTGATAAAAAAGAACTTAAATTCGGTTGGTACACTAAGAATTTGAAAAGAAAAATGTGGAAAATAATTGTGCTAGTATCAGTCGCTCTTGGATTATACTTATTGGATATGGATACTGTAAATGGCGTAAGTAAAACTTTAAGAATTACCAAATTTAGCGAGCAAAAGATTGAGTCGTAATATGTGTATTCATCCAATGAATGGCAATGTGTTTTGTTTTAGTAATAATGATGTTCAAAAGAGTAGTATCGAATCTTTGTTATGTGATCACATGCGATCACTTGTATGACGCGATGGTTCGTTTCTTGCGCGTCAAATTTTCTGATTTCCATATCGTCAATACATGAAATTGATTCGATGAAAATTCTTTTTTTTTTTTTTTGTTGAGACATTTTTCATTGTTGTGGAATTTTCAATTAATAGCAATTTTGTTGTATTTGAGTGTGGCTACGTGCAACAGCAACTTCATGCCACATACAACAATGCGGTTGTGGGTGCGACGCATACTGAGCTGCATGATTGCTTTCAGTATTCACGTGTGTACGTGTGTATGTGGCATCATATTAAGATTGGCAATGATGAAGAAAAAAAAGACTGAAATTGATTAAATGTATTTACGGCTTTACATTGATTTGATGGTTTGGAAATTTGTGAGAGAAATAAAAATTCAAAGGTGCTGCGCACTAATTTTTGTGCGAGCTTTTGAAATGCAATTGAAGAAAAATGAAACACGGTGAACCATCGTATACATGGTGACTTGGGTGGTTGGGTTGAAATATGACGCCGTTCGTTTTGATTTCCGAAGCATATTTGAATGCAGCTCGTATACGTGCTCATTTACAAGCGCATTGTTCAGTTTTCTTTCATTCATCGAAATTTTTCAATTTACTGTGCCATTTTCTGCAGCTCAACGCATCATTTTTGTGTGTTTTGTGCGCAACCCGTGCGCGCTGCGAATGAGAGAGGTGTGCGCATAGCAAAATATGTGAAATTAATTTCTGTTACACAGATTTAATACGCTATTTTATATGAGAGCGCATGCTGTTCCTGACGGCTTTGCCCGGATGAAATTGTTTAATCGAAGTAAATGAACAGAAAAAAAAAGAAATAAATAATTATCATGTTAGAATTTGTTTCCTCGATTGTTTATTTATTTGTGTGTTTCTTTTTCGTGCTTCATATCATTGCCAATGTGTATTTGTTGTTATTTTGTCGTTGCGATCGATTCGATTGGTTTCATTTCATTTTTGCAAGCGAAATGCGTAGCACGCATATTTCTCACAAATACACATTGTTTCTTTCACAAACGCATGTGGTGTACTACAATATCATATGTATAATTATTACACCGTAGGAAAAACGATAATTATGTGTTACAGTCATTTTCAATTCAAAATTAATGTAATTGATATTGTGGCAACGACCTTTTTATCGAAACAAATTGACGATTAATTCTTGACACTTTCCTGAGATGCGCTTTGAATTCTTCGGAATTAATTTTTTTGCATTAAAAAAAGAAGCATCATTACTAGTTTGAAAGCAAGAAATCAAATGTATGCATAGTTGAACTTCTTGTATTTTTTTTTTTTTTTTCAATTTTAAATAATTGAAGGGAATTATTATTTACGCACTCTTGCAACGTGAATTATAATTCAGAAAGAACTTGGGGTTATGGTCAGCCAACTAATGAATTCAATTGAAATATTTGTTTTGAAAAAATTACACAATTTCATGTGCGGCCGAGAAAAAATGCGATATAATCATCACTTACATTGTTTGATATGTCTATATTCAATTGAATTTTAAATGTAACACAATCGCATTTTAATTGACTCGATGAAATGACCACATCAAGTCGACAATGAGGCCAGGATTTCCATAATAAATCATCAATCACGACCTGTTCCGTCGGCAAACACTCACTCGATTGCCGAAGATTGATGCTGCTGCGATGGACATGATTTCAAATCATCGTCGATTTCAAGACAAACTCTGATAATTGTGTTCGATTGTTTGAGAGAAGCGAAGAAAAAGCGACGTAAATCGAGGAAATATGTGCGATTGTGCAATGGAATGGCAAACAAATGTGTGATGAAATTGATATGCCTTTATGGAATGTTATGGATTGTTCTGGTTGGGTCATAAGGCGAAGGTATTTAAAAAAAGAAACGATGTAGAAAATTTACATAAAATTGTCTCGATTATGTTTCAGCATCAGTTACATCTATTTGGAAGTTTTTCTTTAATATGCGAACGCGGTTGAGCGGAAAATTACATTCAACATTTGATGTACACTAGTTGAGAATTACTATCAATTATTATAATTAGATTTATTTTCATTATAACAACGAATTCATTTAATTTTTGGTATTTATAGCGCATTGCAGTGCCCCAATAGAAATACTGAAACATTTGCATATATCCTAGTTCTGGGGCGGTGCATTGCGAAAACATTCTTAGACATTTCAATTTTGTTAAATTGTAAAATCATTTTTAAGCACTTTATTCTATTTTGAATTTTCTTTACACTTTCAGCAAGTGGATGGCTATATAGCCGGTATTGGTGCGTATGCAATTTTTTCAGCGTAAACAAATCGTTTTGAAATTTGCGAACATTACAGGTTTTCTCGTCACTTTTTTCAGATTTTCCAGCTTATGATACAGTGCCTAAAGGTTTGTCATTTAGTTGCAAAGGACGATTACCCGGATATTATGGTGCGTATTTTTGGGGAAAGAGGACCGTTAAATACATTGAAACTTGCTAACATTTCGATTGTTTTTTTTTTTTGTTTTTCAGCGGATGTGGAAACACGTTGTCAGGTTTGGCATTGGTGTCTCTTTTCCGGTACAATCTATTCTTTTCTGTGCCCAAATGGAACCGTATTTAATCAAGGTATACATCTACTTATATTTTGTTGTTTTTTTCTTCTTTTCTGGGTTTGATTTATTCTGCTGTTATATTTTTTTTTATTTCATTTTCGGTGGATTTTCGTACAATCAAGCTTACCGAGTATGCGATTGGTAAGTAATTCTCCTTGAAATTAATACAGCTTTTGATATTCGTCATTCAGCTGACGCCAATTTTGATGAATTCGAAAAACAGGTGGACCAATGTAGATTGCCCATTTGCCGCGCAACTCTATCGAAATAACGAGGAGTTGTATCGCAATCCAAGTGCGAATGAAGTATGATATACGAATCGAGACGTAGGTGGCGTAAGAGATGTAGTAGTGCTCTCGACTCGGAATTCCCAACAAAACCAACAGCAACAACAGCAAAAACCGCAGCAAGACCGAAGTGCAAAATTGATAGAGTTAAAACCAGTAACGCAGCTGCCAATTCAAACAATACCAACATTACCAGCCATGCTTCCAACCATTCAATCGAAAGCAATGCAAGCAAAGCAAACGATTCCATACCGATTGAATCATGAACACTTACAAACAGCCCAATCACAGAATTCATATCAACAACAAAACTTACCAACACATATGCAAACCACACCAAAACACATGAAAACATTGCTCGATATAATTAATGTTACGAATATGCCAGTGCAAAGACGAAGAAGACGGAAGAGCAGACGACAACGAAAAGTACGCAATCATTTGGAGGAAAGTTCACAGATTTGGCCAGATCGTTTGATAACCGAAACCATTGGCAATGCCAATGATATTGCATACGCAATTAGTTTAAGTGGAAATAATAAAATTAATTTTAATCATAGTAATATCTCAAACAATCGATTGAATGAATTTAATGTGGAAACGAAAAACTATAAAATTTGGAATCCAATTAAAGCTGAAAATGTGCTTGAAGCACCGTTTGCAACATCGACCAGTGCCGGTAAAACACAAATGATCATTATCAGCAGCAGTCGAAGTGTTAGCACATCAACAGATCGGACTGGAAATGCTGGCAAACAGAATAACACAATACATCGAAAAGAAACACTCAAACAGCGATCGAATCAGTACCACAAAAATGTTTCACTTTCGGCCATTCCACCGCAACTTGATCACGAACAAAACATATTGAAAAATAAATATAACATCGATTATGACAATAAACTAGAAGATGAATATGAAATAATTATGAAAGATGAATGAAATATTCTATTAGAAAACAAAATTATTTTAATTTATTATTTCTTCTGTATTTTTTCTTTTTCAATAAATGAACAGTTCTTAGTTTGGCAATTGCAATTTTAGAAGAGGCAAGATCAGGACATTTTTAACTTTCAGAATAAAATTTAGACATTTCTTCTGTAGTAAAAGCACATTTCGACGTTGTTTTATTTCAATTTTCAGTCAAACAACTCATAAAATGTATCAAAAGATAAATGGGACTTATTTTACTCTTTTCGGTGAATCAAATCAACATAGCACACTTACGTTTAGTAAGTAGTAAAATAATAAAAGCGACGTCAAGTAAATAAAAAAAAAGATTTTTAAAACTTATCCGTATCGCGCGTAAATTATTAGATCGCAAATTATATTCTGGTGTAAAATTACCATTTTAATTACTACACATCGTCTTTTATTCAATATTTAAATATTCATGTTCGATTTGAGTCTAATAGTTGTTTGTACAGTATACATTCAGGCATTTTTTACTTGCACATACCGATTGAAAGAAAACATTTATGGTACTATACATATCTATAAGGTCTTTTTTTGAAACACCCATTGATCATATACGCCTCCCTCAAAACGAGTTATTGCAATGAATGTGTCACAATAGAATATATTTCCCGAATCATACACATTTGGAATACCCAGTTTTTCAACTCCTGGATTACGGACTGCGTACTAGCAGAGCTATGCACTAGAGGGTTAAGGAGACCTTACAAATGTTAAGCTCCGTAAGAATTCCGTCGAATTTCATTTTGGTGTTTATGAGCAACTCAAAACGATGAGCCTCCATCACAAAGTATGAATGCACAGAAATAGTGGTTTGAACTATAGTATTATTATAATATTCCTTTGGTATGTCGTGAATAGAACTAATAATTGAGTTTGAAGTTTCAATGTGTACTATGAAGCCATACTCTTCACACGTTGTTCCATTATTTTGCTCACTATTCTAACGAATTAACTATATTATTGAGCTGTGTCAATATTCTTTAAAATATTATTGATAAAATGGTTCTATCTGAATGGCACAATAGACAACACTTGAATATTATGTACTTGAATTTTATGTTTTATTATGAATATATTTCGCTAATAGTTTTAATATTTTCTGTAGGCCCTCAAGAAGAATCAAACCAAGATTCGATACATCACCATTTTTTGAATATAGCCAAATTGGCATTACTAATTTCAATCTAAATAAAATGGTCGAAAATAAAATAAATTATTGATTGTTGACAAGAAACGAAAGCTTAATGCATTCGAAAATGGAACTGCACAGATCATTGATCATTTCATTCGATATCTATTTAGCTCATGCAATGGTATGTCTAATGCAAGATTCGGATATGCTTTTCGAATCACTATTCTTATCGTGTGGTAAATTCAATTAAATCGATTAAATGTTGCATTGCGAACTACACTTTGAATAGTTCATTTTCGACTGTTTTGGACTTCACGCCAATTAATTCACTAGTCTGTGTATCTAAGATCATGCTAATTTGTTCGTTCACTCGACTAGGTCTCTTCAACACTTCAATATCATTCAGTTAAATGTTAAAGTTCAATGTTTAACTCGGATCCGCCGATTCATTTTGACTGAATTCATTTCGAAAATATTTATTTACCTTACCGAAGTCACTGCGTTAAGATGTCTTTTACCATCCAAGATATTCATACATTAGGCTTGTCCGATTTTTTTTCTTTACCGTTGAGATTTTTTTTTGGTCAGTTTCGTAATATTGAAATTCCAATAGTAGATTTGTGCCTCAAAAACTCAAATACTGTGCGGCCAAAAAAATTCTCATGAGTGAGCAAAATGCGATAAGCCTGAAGAGCATTATCACATATAATTTTTTGAACGGTTTTTTACATTTTAATGATTTACAGTTTCCATCCACTTTCTGTTTCTCGAATGTATCGATAAGGTGTGATCATTTACATTTTTCGGAAGATGTTTAAATTTTAAAGTGATTCGATTTATTTTTCAACAAATTATGTTTGAACGTTGAAATCGTTGTTTGACGTTTATTCGCTTTGTTGAACATTCGTTTTTCCAAGTGGTCTTTCGGCTCTTCTTCTTATGCTGATATTTCTAATCTATTTATCCATTTCAAAATGTTATTGTGTTCATCTACCTCGATTTCGAGTGAGTTCAAGGTGTATGAATAGTACAATGGATCGGTGTTTTATGAAATTTTCACAATTTTATGTTGAATTTACGAGTTTTCCAGTAAAAATCCATTTATTCACCTTTTGCTTTTTTGTGTTTCTTACACTATTATCGTCCAACCATTCGTCTAATTAACATAGATCAAAGTGGATCCAAAAATGTTTGTTCAACAAAATAGTTTAGAATCTTCTGAGAATTTTTCAAGTGGATTTTTTGCGTCAATCGATTTATTTTGAAATACTTTTTGGTGTTTTACTTTATTTAGCACCATTTGAAATTCAGCCATTTGTTTCTTCCAATTGTCTTGACTTCTTCAATGCCACGATTGTTCGCATACGCTCCACTTCAAGATACAACGGTCCTTTGAACACAGTTTTGTCCATCTAGAAATCGTTATTCGAATGCGTACATTTCAATGGCTTCCAAAATAAATTCGATGTACTATTGTTACATTTTCAAAATCCAAAATAGATTCAGTTGAATGTGAAATTAAAAATAACAGCAAAATTAAGCAGCAATTCATTTAATGATGATTATTATTATTATTTTCGTCGAGTCGGTGTTATCGGTTGCAATGTCTGACAAAGATATACGTCAATTTGATTTTGTTGATTTATTATGTTTGTGCAAACATATATCAGTCAATCTCGATGCGTTCAATTATGCTGATCAGAACTATACCAAAACTATCGAAAGAGCAAGCATGTGTGTGTGTGAGAGAGAGAGATGGAGGGAGAAAATAAGAAAGAAAACCTTGCAATACATACAACAAAAATCAAGAGCGAAAAAGCACTTCGATTTGCGAAGGTAGTTGAAACGATAGTAGCTGCCGTAGTCGTAGCGCAGAGAATAAAATAAGAGTTGTATATGAACGAATACATTGAAAGTATGTTTAAAAAAATGAAATTAAATTCAAACCAAAGGCAGAAAATCAATGGAAAAACAATGCATGACTATGCTGAATACAGTACGCGTGCTTGCATTCACCAAACAGGCCAACGACCAATACAACAAAACGGCAGCATCGAACCAACAACCACGATCAGAGTACAATCGAACATTTAACACAAAACACACGGAGCAACAGCAGAGCTCACAGTCAGCGCACGCCATGCATCACATCGTCCATACCATTTAGTCTTTTAGTAACTTTGCTTGAGTCAACATAGAAAATTTCCTTTTGTCGTGGAATATTTCTTCGTGCGTTTTTTTTTCTTCAGTTCGTTGTAATTTTTCGTTTTGATTTTTAGTTGTATATATCGCGCGCATATACATACATGGTATACATACACTCATGTTGTTTCTTGTTCGCTGGGTTTGATTTATTCTGCTGTTATATTTTTTTTATTTCATTTTCGGTGGATTTTCGTACAATCAATTTTTTTCGCTTATAGTTAGAATTACGCGAACGGTACGAAATATAAAGAGCAAAGGCAGAAGAAAAATTAAAGGCAGTACAAGTACATGATAAATATAAACGTATGTAATTTTCAAATCACAACAAATAATACAATATATTAACGAAGAAGTAAAAAAAAAAGAAATCGTTGATACTATAACATTATATAAAGAAGAGAAAAATTATTGAAGAGAGAAGACGAAAAGTACAAAACGGCATTAGTAGCCGTGGAGCTGTTGATGTTTAAGTTTTTTTTTTTCATACATACATACATATATATTTAAATAAAAAAAACGAACCAAAGATATAAAGTAAAAACAACTAGTTTGCTCTGCTTGTGAAAATATCCATAGAAATTAAATGGTGCGCGTTTGCGTCGATATCTCGCCTATTTGTAAAATATACTCACATACACACAACACAATTTGCGAGAGGGAAAACATACCGTTCAATGCATGTACGCAGCTTTTGAGCAGCAACAAAATCTCTTTGTCGCCTGCATCGTTGCTGTTA